ACTACATTAACACTCCTCCGCACTGTCGTTTGCTCATAATAAAGATGACATATTAACACTCTGAGTTTATACTCAAACAGGACACAATAATATAAAAACCTTTAAAATAATACCAAAATATTTTTACATTTTTATATCTTTGCAAATTAATTAAAAATCCAAATAATATGACTACAATGCATCTACTATAATGCAGTATTGCCAACATCAGCAGCAGCAGCAACAACAACAACACCAGAAGGATACTGGCATGCCACAGATATGTACACGGACATAAATATTTGGTCACTCGTTGAATTCTTTTTAATTGAATATCAAATTTCATTTTAAAATAAAAACTTACTCGTTCGCCTTGCTTCTGGGTTTATTTCTTATTATTTAATTGAATTTTATTTATTCTTTTGTTTGTACGGATTAATGTGCAAATAATGCGTGGAATGCGGTTTTTAATATACGAGTATAACACCACCATCGGTGATAAACGTCATTATCTTGTTTAAAATTGTAATGAGGCTATTCGTAATTAACATAGCTTTGATTAACGAGCCACTAATTACCTGGCCATGAAGTTAGGGTTGCCAAGCCAAGTATACGTATACGAATACCTACGTATATAAATAATTATACTTAATTAGTGTTGTTAATGCAATCGCGTGATTAATAGTTTATTGAACATAAAGTTTAAATTGATTGTGTAACTTATTTACGAATGAAGATTTGTACAATGAAGATGTTATCATGTGACTTTAACTATAAAATTTGAATCTCATAAACCCGTGTGTGAACATGAAATAATTTATGTGCCAATATTATTTAGGACCAGGAATCTGCGTTGATAGATATACATGTTTGAAGAACCGACACAAATCTTCATTGGTTATGATAGCATAGGCTCGTTAAAGATTTTAATGTTAAGAAAGAAGATTTAGTGTTACATATTTTTCTACACCTATATTATTATTGCTCCATCTACAAATTGTTCATAGTATGCCTTACTATATTACCCTGGAGACCATTAAAAGAAGTAATTTCCTCTACTTTCTACAACTTGCCAATAACAGATAGAAAGCACTTAAGTCATGTGCAACTTCCAGGTTAACATGGCCCACCTATAACAAAAATAAACTCTCGGAACTCATCAAAAGAGATTGCGTGAACACTGCAAGGCTTACTGCAGTTCTTACTGGTCATTGGTGTGTAGGAACCCACGCAGAGAAATTGCGTATTCCCCATAACCCTCACTACAGAAGTTGTGGAAACCCGCAGGAGAAAGAAACAATAATACATTTTCTCTGTGAATACCTGGCTTTAGCGTTCAGAAGATATAGGTTCTTAGGAAAATACTTCTGTGATAGTTTATCTGACTACTCAACGATGAAGATGAAAGATCTATTAAATTACCTTAATTCGGCGGGATGGATTTAGTCTTTACTCTTCTATACTAGGGTTCTTGTGAGGAATGTGGTATCAAAACTGCAAAAAATCGCTAATTGAGGTACATTTGAAGTTGTCTAATGGCCCGCCACTGCAACCAACCAACCATGCCTTACTATCGCTCATGTATGAGTAAGCTGTTTAAAATAGTTCTTCATAATAATTATTTCACAAGTATATGTAACAATAACAAACAAGTTATCTAATATATATGATATTAATATTATGATATAATTTTAAGTATATATTTAATTAAAGGATGGACGGTCAGTTCTTTTTATACGGAAAGTAGTGAAAGGAAGTGCGAGATTCTTACTCTCTTAGCTAGAAATCTCATACTTCTATCCACTGCTTCCCTTCTAGAAACAGCTGAACGTCCAGCCATTAATTAATATTTATTAGGTATAAGTAAAAACCCTACTCTTTTCTTAGTGATCTGATAAAGCTCAATTGTTTTCTTAAAAAAACAGCTTAGCCAGCTCTAACAAGTCCGCTTGAAGAGCTTTTTAAGCTTTAAGTCCTCTCTTTGGAAATTATATCATTTTAATTAATTGAATTTTTAGCTGACCGTATAGCTGTTTCGAGTATTGCCAAATACCCATCATCAGTGGCCTTGGAAATAATTCTTGTATTTATTTATTCGTAAATAATTATTTTTGAGACTGCAAGTAGCAGGATTCGAACTTGTGCCCTGCCAAATTTGAATCTCAGAGTCAGCGCTCCTTAACCAACTGATCCAAAGCCGTATAATAGATTTATAATAAATTAATATTTTTAAAAATAATATTGTTAAGACCTGTTAGCCAATTATAATGACTAAAAAGAACTTTGCTAAGACTTTTCTTTAAAGTAAAAAATGAACGAAATTATACACAGCATCCATTACATATTTTCTGCACCCCTCCAATTCTTGCTTTAGTGGTTAATTGCTACTAAAAAAAACCAAATTAATCATATTTCACCGAACATTTTTTTATATGTATCAAAACTTATAATATATCCTGTATTCTGCGGTTTTTTCTTGCAAAAGTACTTAGCAACATAAGTCGCCCGCTGCTTGAACGTGTGTAGCGAACGCCGGTGCATTCTTTCCGCATACTTGCGTGTGTGTAGCTAAGATTTGTTTAGAAACTTCAGCCATTTTGTTTCGAAGTAATAATTTTACACTTGAATTATTTGTTGCTTATTACATACTAATTACATACCAAAAAAACAAAAAAAACAGCAGTGTAAACTCGACTGACAAACGCATATAAATTAACAATAGACAAATTTTGATTTTAACCACCAAACCCTCAAGCTTCCTTTAAACTCTAAAGCCTCAAAGACACTTGTACTAAAAAGTGGGCTGTGGTTCTCAAGTAGTAAAATGATTTTCCTTTTAATGCGACTTGAAGGTGGTTTTGCGACAATATTTTAGCAATTATTTTATAATTCCTTTTTTATATATAATATTGTATTTATTTTATTTCATTTTTTTTTTGTTTAATAAAGAGCTTTGAAGTTTTGAATTGCTTTTTTATAGAGAGTTGCCACTTAAAATCAAAGACTTCGACAAATTCGTACAAGCATAAAATTTTAATGCATTTTTAAGTGCAATATTCTTAACCAATTGCTACGAGGTGTTGTTAAGTAGTTTAAGTCGTCTCGAAGTACGCGGTTTTCTTTTATTATAGGCCTTTCAGAATTATTTCAAGATTTTTTTAAATATAAAATATAATTTTTCTCAAGTGTATTTTTCATTGAAATACAATACATTAAAAGCAAAATTATGCATGATTTTTCATTTAGTATATTTTTTCCTTAAATTTTTTTTTTTTTTTGATATTTTCAATAAGAAATGAGGGGACACTATTATAACTACATTTATTACATTATACTTTATTAAAATAAATTTTTTTATATAATATTATAATTACTGTGTAAGAATGTGGCATTAAGAAAAGAAATTTATATAAAAAATGCTAAATATCACAAAAGGCCTGAGTTATAGCTCCCTTGTAACAAACTGCTACCAACGTCTATCATAAAAAACATTATTAAATTAAAGTAATATAAAAATAATTAAACATTGAATAGTTATTTAAAGTTACTATTCCTAACTCTAATATGCTTTGCTATCAGAACACTTATTTTATTGATTGAGTTAATGGATTAATGTCTCACTTAACATAAGATCTAAATATCGTTTCTAATACAACACTATGTTCTCTAATGTTCTATAGACAATGTCCATATATACATATATAGTTCCACATTTCTTTCTTCTCTGAAATAATTTCTCTAATTTTTTAATATTAGTATTATATACATTATATATATATTATTATATATATTATTATATATATTATATATATTTATACTATATATATTAATATTAAAATATATTTCTAATATTTTTAATAATAGAACTTAAGTTCATATTTATTATATTTTTAATAATAGAAATTCGGTTCATGTTTCATATATAAGCATAGAGCATAAAATATTACTAGAGGCCTCAGTTATATCTAACATTCTCACAGACTGCCACTAACATACATCACAATAGGATATATTATAATAAGTTATATTATAAAAAAATGCCATTAATATATTATTAAAAAAATTGATTATTAAGCAGTTACAGATACACAGTGCCCATATATCTAATAAGAAATATCGTCGTTTAGTCTTTACTATATTTTTTAGTCATATCAACTTATGGTTACTGACGAATACATTAATTTTTAAATTCCTTAAATAAAACATTTGGCAACCTTACAGTATATATATATTTCACATGTCATCAAGAATGAAGCTAACCTAACAAAAGTATAATTATATACTAGTTTCCAAGAGCCAGATAGAAACTGATAAGTTACTGCAGGATTTCTTTGACGTCCAGTTTATTACAATTCTTGCAAACTTCACCGCACGTAGTTTTTAGCTTATCCTTATAAATTGTAACTATAAAATACACTGTTAAAATATTATTAGCATTCTGCAGGTTTTTTTTAACGAAAGATAACACAGATTTGATATATTCGCACAATATCCGTTGTACATGATTCCTGCGATTTTTCAGATACTTAAGTTTTATTCCTTCTTCGTCTTTTCTAACATATATTCATCTAGTTATGTGTTTATTGTATATCGTGAAGAGGCCTAAGTACATCAGTTATTTACCTTGCAGATGTCACTTTCAGCAATATGATCTAGTATTTCATTTCCCTTTATGCATTTCTGCCCACATAGTCCATTGCTATGGGCCAATCTATCCATTACTTTCTTGCAGTGCTGAACATTTTTATAAACAATCCGGAAAGTAGGGTTCCTTAAACAGACCCTCATCCCTTAAAGAATTAATAAAACATTCATTACAGTGAAGTGAAAAAATAAAAGATTTTGTATTAATCCGCTTATTGACAACTTCGTTAGATCCTTTTATTCCTTTCGAATGGTTAAATAAAATTAAAATACACAAATTATTTTCTTTGTATACTTATATACAATACCTTTTTATATAAATTAAAATATTCTTAATAAAGAAACAATCATACTAAAACTTTTCCTTTTCTTTCTAGGTTTGGTTTCAAAATCGTCGAGCAAAATGGCGTAAAACGGAAAAATGTTGGGGTCATAGCACAAAAATGGCTGAATATGGTCTCTATGGTGCAATGGTTCGTCACTCGTTGCCACTACCAGAAACAATTCTGAAATCGGCAAAAGAAGACGAATCCGTTGCTCCTTGGCTCCTGGGCATGCACAAGAAATCACTAGAAGCAGCAGACATCTTAAAATCAGATGAAAGTGATCGCGAAACGCCAACTTCCGATGATACCAACACTTCATACTCAGCGGGTAGTACACATAACTCACCCATATCTTCATTTTCCATCTCAAGATTACTTTTCGATGCACCTGCCAAGCATAAACAGGTACATGGTGCTGGTGCACTTGGTCCAAATGATTATGCTGGATTAAATGGTAATCCAGAGCATGTACTCTCACAACATCATCCCTATAATCAACAGCAGCACCTACACCATGTACATCACTTGCAACAATTGCACCAACAACAGCAGCAACATGCAGAAGCACAACGTAGACATCAGCAACATCAACAGCAGCAACAATTGTTGGCTGAAGCTGAGATGCAACGCCTTAGAGAAAGTTCGGCAGCCAAACAGGCACAGGAACATGAAAATAGAGAAGCCGAACAGGATGATGATGATGAATGTGATAAAGAAGAAATCGATATATGTTGTGATGATGATGAGGATAATGAAGAAAAGCTTACGATGAATGCCAATGAACAAGCCAAACGAATTAAGGAAGAGCGACGACAGGAAATGACGGAAAATAGATGAAATTTATTTGTTGATGTTTTATTGTAAAAAAGTTGCATATAAAACAGTTATTATATATATTAATAAATATAATAAATATAATTTAAATTAAGTAATTGAGCATCTCAAACCAAATATTTAAGCAGTTTCAATAAAAGCAACTCGAAATATTTTTAATGCAACAAATACCTACACACATCATTATTTGCAAAACAACACAAATTTTTATTAAAAACAAAATTAATTCATTGTTTACTTAGATTACAAATTATTTATTTATTAAATTAAAAAAAAAAAATTTTCGACTGGCTCAGTGAGTTCCATAGAACACAACGAAAAATTTAAGAGCAGAACTTTCACATCAAATGTTTGGACTTCTCTACACAAAGTATCTAGATACATTCACAACGATCTAAAAAAAGTTATAAATATTTGTGTTCATTGAAAAAAAAAACAAAATTCGCTTAAATTAAAAGTGTAAATAAAAATTAATTGAATTAATAATGTGTTATTTATAATATTAATTAATTTAATAATCGAAAATAATAATTATAAAATTAATTTTTTATACTATTTCAAGCTCTAATTGTGATTTAATTTAGTTAATATTTTTTAAGTTTTATTAAAAGGGTTTATACGTTTATTTCTATTTGTACCAGTGTTTTTCTTTATTTAATATTGGATTTGTTTATATTTGTGTTATTATTAAATTTTCAACTTGTATAAATTTAACATGAAGTGAAGCACTAAAAGACACATTAAACATTTTATTATAAGTAAATAATTTTATTTAATCCAAGTCATTTTAGGCACATAAAATTGTAAATATATTAAATAATTGTCATTTTTAGCTTTAAATAATATACACAATGAGATACACACAATAACAAACTAAAAATCAAACAATGAATATTATTCTTTAAAAAAAATAATAATAAATAATATAAAATAAAAATATTGCAAAAAAAAAAAATATATAAATACAAAGAAATAAATTTAATAAATATTAAATATTTTGCAGTTTTAATTTTAAATTATATATAGTGTATAATAAGAAGTAACGAGTCGTTTGAAATTTCGCGCGCTGTGTATTTTTATCGATTCAAGTTTGTTTTTTGTGTATTGGTGGCACTGTCGTTAATATTTTTTTTTTGTGTTTTGACAGTATGTGGAAGCATCGAAAGCCACCGTGTGAGACTTGAACCCACTAAACCACCTCTTAGGAATGAATGGAGAAGATTTCTACAGCATTGTGAAAACTTTATTCCCGTAATCAGTGGAGAGAGGAGAACAAATAGACTGAATACGTAGCGAGCTAGATTTATCTAAGCCAGAAAGCAAAGCCCATATATTAGTAATGTGGCGAAGTGATATACTATAAGGCAAAAAAAAGACTGAAGAAGTAGGTTGGGATCTTGAATTGAACCTATATCCAGGTGTAGGAATATTTACTGTAGTAAGAGAGAGAGAGAGCAACATCCATAAATCAATGGAAATGGAAATGGTATTAATATATGACAGATAATGGAAACTATATTTAAAAAATGTAACATTAACTCTGTTTCATTTTATTGTTGTTATGAAAATTCATTATCAATATATGTACATAAAAACTTCTTCTAATGTAATATTATTGTTACGGCTATCATTTTCAGTTACTCTTATATAGGCTGCTTTAAGATCATTTCCTGTTAATAACAGCAAGTTATTAAGTTATTTAAGAACGTTCTAAAAAAACCTTTAAAAAAGGAACCATAGACAATATCTATATAGCAATATCCTTTTATGTTATAAAGATCCATAGACAAAAAAATAATATTTGTCTATGATATAACTTATATATGTGATTAGTTCTACATACTTGTATTATGTTATTATGTATATGATAAGTATTTATGCCAGTAATCCCTAAACTGTTGTTATTTTTGTATATCCGAATATCTTTTAAAATTGACTGTTGAACTTCAATGTATTTTAGAACAAAAGATCTTAAAAACATTGGTATCCATTCTTATAAAGAACACTTTTCAACACAGTATTTCAATATTACTGTGATAAATGTTATTATGATAATTTCGTTAATGGACTTTCTTGTCATTTATATAAATAAAATATTAATGTTATTAGCTGTTCAGATCGAATATCAAATAAAAGTAGTTTCATATATCAATATTTATTATTTTGTAAAATATTGCAAGTATTGAGATATCTCGGTACTTCAGATAACAGGTAACACGATAACTCAGTAATCGATAAAGTGATAATAATAAAGATATTCAGATATAGCTCGGTAATTCAGTATTCTATAAAGTGATAAAATAACAAACGTCTTACTTTTATTTCGTACTCTTATTTCTTTCTCGAAAAATTTATAAATTGAACCCTTTGCTTGTTTTATCATATTATAAAAGAGGAAGAATAGCAAATTTAAAAAAATATGAACTCATCCTATACTATTCTGAATATAGAAAAAATTTCTGGAACCAATAACACATTAATTTCGTAACGTTAGAATTTTAAAAAAACTATTTTACATGGTTAACTTTATTACTTTATCGAATTAATGAGTCATCAATCACTTATATTATTCCACTGCTTCACTTTAAATTCTCAGTTGTTTATTTTCTATTTCTATTGCATCATATTATTTAAAAAAGTTAGAACTAAAAAGTTATTGAACTAGAATATGGATCAGATCAACTAATAGATTATCACATTGTTCGCTTTGAACACTGAACAGTTCGTTGATTAGATCATCGATTGTTATTATTATTATTTGCTAAGATACTATTATACATATCACAACTATTAATTCTATTTTATTATTCCTTGAGATATATAAATAATTTAACCCGGTCAGATATATAATCTGTGTATACACTTCACGATACCCTTGGGCGCAATTTAAACGAAAGCAAAGATCTAATTTTCATATAAGTTCTAGTCCAAAAATACTTTTAAATCCTCAAAAAATGCTTAGTGGCTATTCTAAGTATTTCTACTACTACTACTACAACATCTATATAAAGATGTAGCTCTATCTAGTAATACTAAAGACAAACAAATCTTTACGCAACTTATAGCCAACCTAATTAATCTAACCTTTCAAAAAATTTACAGAAATAAGCCTTCTTTGGACTTATATTTGTTAAGTGATAACTGATTAGTACTTAATCCAAATTCCAATCGGTTTGCTCAGGCAGATTACTCAGTATTTTTGTTCTAACTCAATGAAAACCTTTGGATTGTCTTTTGATTTTAATATTTGCGAACATTTTATAATTACTTTCACCCATAATTCGTGGTGATAGTTTTTTATATTATTGATATTCAGATGTCTGAGTTGGTGAAACAGCACCTTTACTCTATTTTATTTGTGGACAGTTTTAAGTCACACTAAATACGGGGCTTTACGGGGCTTTATAAGATGATGGATCTGATGTCTTTGTATCTGCCTGTGTTTATCAAATTTCGCTGTATTTTTAGGATACTGAGAGTTGGATTATTGTGACTGTCAATTGTATTGAACAGTTTCAGAGCACGATCTTTAATGTATTTTTCAACTGAATCCACTCTCAGATCTCTGTGGATATCAGCTCCTCTTACATACCATGGGGCGTTAACCAGTTTTCTTAAGGCAATATTTTGCCCTCTTTGTAGAATTTTTAAAGTTGAGCTTGGCGCTTGGCAAAACGCTATACTGCCATAGAGTAGTCCTGGTTTAATAATTTGCTTAAATATGCTAACTCTATTCTTTATGTTGAGCTTTTTGCTGCTGATGAGCGGGTGAAGGGAGTGTAATATTCGGGCAGCTTGAGCTCGTTTGGACTTGAAATGAGCTTTCCAGGAGTGCTAGTTATCAAAGGTTATGCCTAGGTATTTGAGAGTATCGGCCCATTCTATTTCTTATTCTTCTACCTTTAATTTTCTGGGAGCTTAGCGGCGCTTCCTGGTAATAAAAATTGCCCGAGTGTTTTCTGCGTTCAGTTTTATTTTCCACTTTTTAAAATACTGAACAAGCACGTCAATGTGACCCTGTATGGTATTGGAGACATTGCAGGCTATTTTGTCTGAGTATTATAGTAGTGTATAAGTTATTACATTCACATTTAAAATAACATTTTTTTTATTATATATTATATTTATTTTTTTTATTAAATGAATTTCAAAATATTGCTGGCAACTCTTAACACGTTAAATCGGCCAGAAGTGGCATACTACTTCTCTTTATATCAGTCTTAACAAATGTAGGAATCCCTCAAGTTTCAGTCAATCGGTCATACTTATAGCAAATTTTAAATTGATCAACAAAAGATGGCGCAAGAGACATATTTTAACTACACGTATGACATATGAGTCCGCATATGAGTCGAATAGAACTGAGGCTTGTTCTCCACTTGATATCTAGCACACCCAGTGTACAGATGGGATATTGTCCCATTAGTAGCTCCCTTCAACATTCACTGTCATATAAATAAACATGTTACCCAGTTACTTTGTCACTACTCGACACTCGTCAGAAGATACACATCCATTCTATGACCTTCATTCCCAAACCATTTGTCCGATATCACTGATATGGGCATTTGAAATATCATTAAAGCGATGAATGATTATATGGTTCAAAATAGGGTTCCCTGGGAATAGAAGCCCAAAGTGTTTTAACTTAATTGCTTGCCGTAAAGACTTAAAACCATGGCTTTTGTTAACAAGATAACGCACACATAACTGATCCTTTTTGGAAGATAAACTGCCGCTTGTACCTCATCACTCCATCCTTACTGTCTAATAAATATGTATTTATTTTATGCATTCAATTCCCATTGAACCTAAAACTAGGCAGTTATTTTTTATACGACTGTGTCGATAATACAGTCTATCCGAAAACATAGAAATTCATTTCTTTAAAGTAAAAAAATTTACAATTATAATAACAAAACGTTTTAAACGAAATTTAAATTTATTAAAATTAAATTTATTATGCGACATATATCTTATTATCAAATAAATATTAATTTTATTAAATCTTTATAAAATATTTTAAAATTAATACGCCTTCCAATGAAGGAATGAATTTTCGAACTGTCATTTGTTCGAAAATCATTTACGAAATTACATAAGTCTAACCTCGAAAATTTGACATTTCCATTGCATTTCTTGGCAGTAGCAAACTACGAGAGAACCCCAAAGAAAAAGTAAGTTGTAGGATCCATAAATAATTTATGGTATAAAATCAATTTTGAATAATTATTTTATTGTATATATTGAAGAAATGGCTGGAGCTAGTGATGCAGCTGAGGAAGCAAAATTGACCGGCTTGTCCAAGCATTTCAATGGCACAACCATGCGTGGACGTGCAAATGTAATTTTCTATTTCTAATTACGTAAAGCATTTTAATAATAATTATTTTAATAATTTATTTAGGTTGCAAAGGCTACCTATGGTGTAGTGGGCCTTATTATTGCCTACAACATTCTCAAGCCCAAGAAGAAGTAGATCTATTTTCTTAAGATTAGTGCTTGTAAGCTGTGGAGTTTAACATTTGGGATGAAATCATTAAAATCTAATAGTAAAAATTATCTCGTGTTTTTTTATTTTAATCTATAAAGTGTAGAAAACATTTAAAATAATTTCTACCAAATTATGTTATTTAACGAATTTCAATATTAAATCAGTCGAAAGCAATCGAAGACGTTCTCTTATAAATATGCTCCATGCTTGATGTCATAGGTACCGCCGAAACTCAACACCGGACAGTACATTGATATTGAAATTGTTTGAAAGTACAAAAATAACAAAATGTTGTATTCATACTTGACCCAAATCCTAGTAGATAAAGGATTGATGAGACATTACACAATGGTTAGAATGTGCCGAAGTGATATGATGTAAGATAAAAAAAAGACTGAAGAAGTAGGTAGGTTTCTTGAATCTTACCTGTATCCAGGTGAAGGAATATTTACTACAACAAGCCACATCCATAAATCATTAGGTCTGAAATTCTTGAACGCATTCGGGCATAATAATGAATGAACAACCTCTTGTAGAATAGAACTGCATTTCGGACACATATTGGCAATTGACTGATTTATGCATGACGAATAGCTGCTTAGCGTGTTCTTATATCCTGATCTTAAATCGATAGGGGCTATTCTTTATGTACGAGGAGAACGTCTTTCAGTCTCAAAAGTATAAGTCTTAGTTCTGCTGAAAACTGCGTTGTTAAACAATCGTGATCTTGAAAGGAATACTGCTTCAGTATTATTTAACAAAAAATTCTTATCTATGTTGTTGTAATAGCCCATGAAGATTTATATGCCAAATAATTTGAAAAGAATACCATAGTTGGGTAAAGGATGTGTGAAAGAGTAGAGTGAGAGCAATTTATGGATAGGTGAGATTATTACTGAAGTTAACTTGAGTATTCATTGTAACGAAGTCGGGAATTCGCCACATAAAATAGTGACTGACATACTAATAAATAGGGAGTGTTCTATTCACTGTAACGCCACATGGGTATCTAACAGCATAATAATGTACTTGTTACCAAACTATGTTTTTAGGAGGGCGCACTTGATATTTTAAAGAGACAAGTTGCTATATTTAATAAATTGTTCCTATACCTGTCAAATTACCGAAGAGTTTTCATTAACGACAGGATACTGTATAAAAATGTATTAGTTTTGCACATGTCACCTTATGTTACTTAAAGAAATGTAATTTGTTTATTTTCTAAGGCCTCAAATTATTGCTAATTTTCTTTAGAAACGGTATAACTATAAAGCTCAACTAAGTAGCTTTGATCAGTTAAGTATATCAATTAAGTAAAAATGAAAGTTATATATTGTATAAAATATATATACGTATATAACTTTATATTATAAATAATAAAAATGTTAACAGAGAAGTGGTGCACTTATATATACGTATATAACTTTATATTATAAATAATAAAAATGTTAACAGAGAAGTGGTGCACTTTCTTTTGAGTAGACTTCTTTTGAAGAGTTGTGGAAATCCCCAATAGGAATGTAAACAGGTGACATTTATTCGAAAAATTGACTGTTTTGTGTTACGTCAAATCTTAACTACAACTTTATTCGCTTTGATGTCCACCATCTATTATTATAGATACGCTGTGCATGCAATACGACCTGTAAGATCGTCGATCATCTATTCTCATGTTCCACACACCAAAAACGTATTGATTTTTGTCTTAGACCCATTAAAGTGACAAGGTTTCTTCACTTATATATAACCTACTTTCAAATATATCCCATCCCTTCATCATCCATGTCATAACCTAAAATTCACCTCATCTTTTTAGTTATCTTCTATATAATTCATATTCTATCAAATGTGTTCGTGTGTTGTACTTCATTTCATATTTCCTGCAATATAGATCTCCTTCCGTTACAACAATACTGTCTTCTGTTTCACTTTATTATACACTATACAATAATGTGGCCCCCTCCGCTTTAGTAACCAGTGCCGTAATAATTAATATTCTATTCTACTCAATAACAGCAATTGCTTACAGTAGTGTTTCTCAGCCCAAAACATACTGTGGACCGGAACAATATTCAATGTATGTAACCAGGGCCAATAAAATATTCAATTTGTTTCGCAAGAGCCGGTAGCAAGCTCTATCAGTCCTTGCAAAACGCATTGTAAGGCCTTAACAAATAATATCGTTATGATGATATCACAATATTTTATGAAGCAGTGTTGCTAATAACGCGGTTTGATAGTGGTTCGCCGGTCTGCGAGCCACTGCCAGAACTACATGAAATATGTATAACGACGTCTAAGAATTTTTTTATATATATAAAACCTTTTTATAAAATAAAAAGCATATCGTTTCTGGAATAGAATGTAATGTTTTTGTTATTTTTATTTTCTTCATTTTTTTTACGATTTAATTTATAAATTTTTTTCAGCAGACTTCTCTTCTTTCCCTGCTTTTCAGCAAAAATTTTCATTTTCTGCTTACAAATTCACGTTTTGCAATGTAAGTAAATGTTGGAATCATACTATTATTAATCATGTAATAATGTTTTTTTTTGTTTTTTGTATATTTGAAACAAATATAATAATTAGCTTTTGTTACACATATACTTCATATATAATAATTATTTATGTATTTATTATATTTTCGTATGTTTAATTTTGTTTTTCATTTATTAATAATATTTTCAGCTGTTTGCAAATGTTCACTAAATAATAATTTGCTGTTTACTATTTTAATATTACATATAATAATGAGTTTTAAAAATAAAATTAAAAATAGAAAATTATTAAAAATTGCGTATAAAATGTTAGTTTTTTTTCTTTATAATTTTTTTTTTTTTTGTTGTAAGGAAATTCACAAAAAATAGTGAACAAATTTTTTTAAATAATATTAATTTATTTATTTAAACTGTCTAATATATATAGTTTCATTTATTTTTAAATATTTTAGTTCGCTTTGCCAAATATATCTAAAAATGGTTTTAAAATATACATACATATTTTTCATTAAATATTTAAAAATTTTATTTTTTTAATCTAAGGTAGGGCAGGGCTCACTTAAATAAAACAAAAAGTAAAACAATATATTTCACTATAGTTTTTATATTTAAATTTTCGTTATGGTATTAATATTATTGTAATGCCATTTATCAATTATTTCATAAAGAAAAATGAATTTTATTTTATTTTTAATATTAATATTAATAAAAATTCAGTGGTATTCTACACACTTTTACTTAAAGAACATTTCTTTTTGTTCTGATTATTTTATTAATAATTTATTTTTGATGCCGCGCTATTTTGCTATTTAATTTCCTTTTTAAATATATATATATGTATGTTATATATATTATATATATCATTAGAAAGAAGCCAGTTTTTGTTTTTTATTTATTTTTAAATATGCTTGTTTTACATACTGTAATTTATTTATTCCTCTCATTTGAATAAAAATTTGATTATTAATTCTCATTTGAATATTTTTACGATCTCTTCACCATCGTTTGAGAGAAGAGCACTTTTATAATATTGAAAATCCGGTAATTTATGCTAAAATATTTTTATTTATTTCCGTGTTAAAAGGGAAATAAGCACTCATGATATTTATTAACATGACTTTAAAGGTAAACGGATCTATTACAACCAAGTAATAGAGTTACAATAATAATAAACTGTTAACATCCGCCCTTTAAATTTTTCAATTTAATAAATTCAATTATTCAGTATTTCATAAGGTACATTCTGACCAAATACGTCTCACTATTTCCATTTAAGTATAATAGTTTGCAAGACGGGTCCATGGGTCAATCAGTACGAAATACAGTGCATTAGTTTCTGAAATACTAATTGGATCGTAGTCCCATAATCTCATTTATTGATATAGTCCCTTTTGGAAGTGGTAAACGCCATTTGGTCGTCAAAATTGACAATCTTATTTGTAGTTGCATTTAGATAATATTAGAATCTTTAATATTAGAATACTTTGAAATAATATGTGCATATTATTTTCTAAATAATATGATGTAAACACATATCTCTATCATAACTAATACAGTGTTGGTATATAAGATCTATGTTATATTTCAATATAAATTAAATTAATAACTTTAAGATTATGTACTATCCATATATTGTTCTATAATTCAGTAAGAATGAATGTAACTGTACCAGCAGCTACATAAGTTCGTCATATATACATATTGTAGCTATATCAACTTTTCATAAGCCAGCTTTCCCAAAATTGTGGGTTTCACACAGTACACAGTTCATAATATATAATATTTAATCAATATTTTGATTAAATACATTCTAAAAGTTTAAATGACTTTCTTGAGAAATACTGTATAAGATTTTTGATTTCAAAGCCAGTATTTTCATAGCATTTCGCCTTTAATATTTTACTGTGGATATATTTTATCTTGGAGTTTTATTTGTTTTGAGTGCAGTAAAAGTCCAAAATATTAACGTATTTTATTTTATTGTATATATTAATAATATATATTAATATCTACTAAACTTCAACTAATAAATTGCCCTTATGGTATTCTCTATTTTTAGGAGCTTGTTAGGCTTCTCAAGAATTGATAGAGCGCTAAGACAACAATTGTTGTCTACGTTTAACTTTTACAGATTTCAAGTTTTTTTTTGGTTTGTAGTCCACACAATATTGTTTACAAATTTAATATGAATAATCCATTAATAATAATAATGAACTTGAGACAATTCATAAATTTGTATTAAATTTTTTTCCCTTATAAATGAAATATCTTTACATATTTTTAATTTTTTTTTATAAACATTAATTGTTTTAAGCAGTCATCGTATTGGCATTAAGTTTTACATATACAATAATTTTTATTTTAATGAATTTATTTTAACTTATATATTTCAATCAACAAAATATTTTAATGCTTTTTTTATATATAAAAGAAAATATTTTAATATATTAATAAATATAGCTTTTTACTTGCATAAATATTTAAAACTATTAATACGAACTAAACAATATTTAGCATTTAAGTTACTAAACTTCCTCATATTATCTTTAATTTAGATACATATATAATATATTAATGAATTATTAATAAACTCAAAAAGATTTTTCTATCCTGTTCGCCGGTTTTATTTTCTTATTTTTCGAAAATATTTTTTCTATTTATATTTTCAGTGCAATAAGTTTAAAATTTTTTTTTTTAATTTATATTTAATTTTTTTTTTATTTTACTCTTTTTTTATATAAGTTTGAGATAGTTCTCTTAAACTCTATCTTCATCAGTTTTGCTTAATATTATGTGGAAATTTTTGCAAATATTTTTTGGATTATTTTTAAATAATTTATAGCTTTCATATATATGTATATGTATATATATATCATAAGAACCTTTTGTTCTGCTCTTCTTACCATATTAATTTAAGCCATATTGTATTCCAACAACAGCAAACAGTTTTTTTTCCAAATTTAATTTTGATTTCCTGTAAATAAACATAAAAAATTAATACAAATATATAATGAAAATTAAATTGATAAAAATAAACATTTATTTATACAATTACTTTAGAAATATATTTTATGTCACAATAAGCAATAGCTATTGTTAAAACATAATAATAATAACCAATTAAAAATTTAATATATAAATAATAAGTATGTATTTTTTATTATACAAAATGATTAATATTATACAATATATATTAATATTATATATTATAATATATATTAATATTATATATAATATATGTTATATTGTGATATTTTATAATTATAATAATTAGCTGTTTAGAATAAATTTAATGTAGATAGTATTTTTCTAAGTAGACGTAAGAATATTGATAGACCAGATATACTACATAATATATTATAACTTTTAAAGTAGGAAGATTATCCGGAATCATTTTCTATTTAATATTAAGATGTTAAATCCTAAAAAAAAAACCTAATAAATACATAAATTATAAAAATAAACAGAAATAATATTAATAATATATTTTAATGTAATATTAAATCTTTTTATTTTTAAAATTTAAGTCTTTATTAGGATTTAATACATAATAGTAAGTAAGAATAATAAATTAAAATAATAACAATTAATAGTAATAATACGAAATAAGATTAATTATAAATAATAATAATTAGAAACAATAATATATAAAAAAAAAACAAAAACCAAAAAAAATTTTAGATTAATAAATAAAAATAATAAATAAAAATAATAACAAATAAAAATAATATCAAATAAAAATAATAACTAATAGTAATAATAAGAAATAAATGTAATTAGATATAATAGGAAGCAGTATCAATAAAAAAATAATATTAAAATAATCAGGTATATATAAAAAAATTAAATTAAAAATAATAGATTAAAAATAAATTAACAAATTAAAATAAAAGAAATACATAAACATTATTATTAATTAATAAACATAATTATTATATTTAATAAAAAAAAACAGCAGTTATAATATATAAAAATTCTATTTTTAAAAACAATAAGAAGAGAAAAAAATAATGCGGTAGGCTTAAATAAACAATTAAACATATGATATAGAAATATAATATAAATATAAAGTAATAAAAATATAAAAAATTAAAAAAAAGTTATAAATTGATGTTTTTTGAATTAATTTAGCTGACGTTTCAAAAGAAAAACAATATAATATTGTTTTCACAAACAAAATTATTATTAAACAAGTTTGGTCATTAAAAATATAAATTGTAAAAAAATTTTTATGTTTATAATATATATATTTACTATATTTATATTTAATATATATATTTTACAGTTTAAGCTTTATGGTTCCACTAAGATTGATAAAGGATCACATTTGGCCAAGAATGTTATTTTAGGAAAACTACATTTAAAAAAAAATTCAACATTAGGTATTGTAAAGCCTATTAGACAATACTCTAATAATTAAAAATTAATTGTTGCATTACTAGATAATAATACTATATATATTTTATTATTATTATGTTAAGCCTTTTCCAAGTTAATGCATCTGGGCACTTTTACTCTATAATAGCTGGGGGGATTCTGCAGAGTCCCACTCATCTCATTGACTACTTTGAGTATTTCTGATAATCTTCGTGATTATTCAATGATTAATCTAAGATCTGCGTACCGCCACATGCGGTTAGTGATTACTCTGAGATTAGATAGTGCTAAGTAGGGCAGCCTGTCGGTATTCGGATATAGCTTCAGAGCTCTGTCCCTTATGTATTTTTTAAAAAGATCTATTAAAAAATCTCTTAGCATGTCATTCGTGCGTATATACCATGGTACTGTGAAGAGCCTTCGGAGTGCATGAATTTGAGCAATTTGTAGCTTTTGGATAGTAGACTCGACAGCTTTGCCGACTATAATATACTATACTATAATATACCATTATAATATAATATATTAAATAATAAAAAAAAATCGAAAATCTCTTAACCATTACAGCGGTTTAAAGAACTCAAAAATTTGTTAATTCTTTAGAATATTATATAGTCTATCCTCCAAACGAAGTATGCCCATAACAACAATAATATTCGACAAGATCCGTATTAACTGTATGATTAGTCCAAAAAAAATCAATTTTACTAATAATTGTTGTTTAGTTTTGAGGGGCTTAACTTCATCACTGACAGTGGTGTGAACTGTCTCTTAAAATTCGCTAATGACACATACCTTTTAAGTAATGCGTATCATCGTTAATTGCCTCTAAGGGCTCGAATATGGTATTGTTATGGATCAATCAAAACCTATAATTGTTTTGAATGGTTTAACTAAATATTATTCCTTTTATGTAATAATACATTTCTAATATTACATACAAATGTGTTTTCATTAACTAAATTTATACTATTAAATTTATGTTAATTTTTTTTAAATAAAGTACATAATAATTTTATTAGTGCACTTCTTGATAATTGCAATAAAAATTAAAATATCAAAAGCATAATAAACAAATTGAAAAAGTAAAATACAGCATTGTTATATATACATTAATTACCATTAATAATTGGTACAAACGCAAGCAAATATCTTTAAATAATTATGTATTGAAAGGTATTATTAGGTATTGTAAACTAAATTTATATAAACTATTATGACTTTATTTAACATATATTTAATAACGTAGAAAATTTTTTGTAATTATAGGTTTTAGGATCAATTTAGTGTCAATTTAGCAATAAAGTGGCATTAGGTTATATTGGAGTGGTAGCTGTGCAAAATAAACCTTTTTATTTAACTGATATATAAATGATGTAATAAATATTTTTTGACGCACTTTAACTAAGAAAAAATGAAGCAAAGAGTGTGCCCATAGGATCATTTATGCACAAAGTATATATATATATGTATGTGTATATGTATTTTCCCAAATATATGTATTCATTGAGCTTTAGTACATAGTCTGAAAGCTATGGTAACAAGTTTTACGAGTTTTATTGATCAGCAGTCACAAGTTCTATAAGTGTCTGAATAAAATCACTATTTTTTATCTCAATAAAATAACCATAATTTTTAAACAATATTAAATAAATTCATTAATCCTTTATGATCATAAATCATATGACTATTCTTGTTGTACGGACAGTCACATGTTAAATGGTCACGTCAATTTTACGGACTTTCTGGTCATGGCTACGATGGCGTGTTATGTAGACAGTCAGTCAATTCACAATTATTAATTTCATATAATTTGATAATTTGTTGCAATTTTGATAGCTTGATAAATTTATATATCCATACTCATATATCCACACAAAACTTTTCAAATTTATTCCTTAAAAAAAACCAAATTCTGACATTTATTAATGTTCATCACTATTTCAACTAACATGATAAAGAACATAATACCAAAGTATCCAAAGTAAGTTTTAACGAATTGTCTCTCTTGTTCTTTTTGTCAAATCAATTATTTACACTGAAAACCACAATTTCATATTTGATGTAACCATGAGTGTCTGCATAACATAACATGACCATTAGCTCTTAATGTTTATTAAATAGAATTCGTTCTTACAAATATAAAAATTTCCTCTTTTATTTCAAACTTCCAGACTTTGACTCGGGGCTAACCATTTAGCAAATAGGTCAAATGAAATACCACCTATCTTCAATCCATCCCACTTCCTTATAGTCCCCATCGCTCTCACACAACCACTAAACCTACATCCTATTCGTTTTGAAATTCCTTTCATATTATCTGTTTTATAGATTCCCACGCACCACTACATAAAAAAACCCCATTTTTTTTGGTGTATATAAAAAAGTTTTAATAAAAAGGATCTCCCAGACCTAAAGTGCAAAAATATTCGTCTAATTCTCTTAAATCGCTGGAGAGATTTGTTTTTGATATTGTTTAAAATTTTTTAATATAGTAATATATTATGATTGTCTAGGGTACGGGATTTTTTTGTTTAAAACAATTTTTATTGATACCAAAATATCAAAGGCATAGCGTGAACTGGGCAAACCAAAAGTTCAATAACAAAAAATTCCAATATCTGTTACAGGGTGTTACAGGATTCTAACAAGTGATTATAAACTTATAGTTTAAAACACTTTAATTCATTATCATTTAAAACCGAAGAGTATTTGAAGTATATCACTTGTCATGAAGAAGTTCAATTTTGTTTTTCAAAGAAATTATAAAACAAACATTTTAAAGTGTGGAAATAAAACACCTGTTCAGAAAATAAGTGAAAAAAAATAAAATTAAAATAAAAATTAAAATAAAAAATAAAATTAAAATCAAAATCAAAGTCAAAAGAAAATAAGTAGGCATATAAATTCGGTTTTTCGCAAAGGAAAATTTTATGTATTTTTTTCTTATTTTTTGAATTAGAAATTTATACTTTAATTTAGGATAATTAATATTATTTAGATTAAGTGCTAAATAATTCTAACTATGGTTTCTTTAATTAAATATTTACAATTAATGCATAAACTATTAGGAAAAATGTTAGAAATGTTTTTTTTTATATTTTATATTTAAAGTACAATTAAACTTATGTTTATATTTAATATATAATTTGATAAATTAAATTAAAAATGATATATGGATAAAATTTTAAATTCAAAAATTCGTAAAAAAAATTAATTTTACAATTACATTATAGCAAAATAAAATGGAAAAAATATGGAAGGAACAGAAAAGTGAATACGCAATTAGACTTTTAACATAAACATTTTATATAATTTCATGCAAATATATATATATATATATAAATATATAAATGTATACATAACAAAATACATACATAATTATATTAAAATTTTTAACATTTTTCATTGTTTCAATAGACCACCAATGGAATAAATTACATTTTCATTTTTTTATAATATATATATAAATATATATTTATATATAACATTTATACATATTTATACATATATATATATATACAATATATATTCATACATATATATATATATATATTATATTTATATATAATTATATATATATTTATACAGTTTATATTCAAGAAATTTTTGCTTAATAATTTTAAATTTTTTTAAAGTGATTTATTAAAGGCAATTTAATTGTATGTTTTTAATACATTAATAATTTTTTTGTTTTTTTTTTCTTAAATGGAAAAACATTAAGAGTTAAATTTTAAATTTAATTACTAAAATCGTAGGAAAATAGATAAATTAATTTTAATATAAAATATTCATTACTGTTTACATAATTTTCTTTTCTCTAAATTTCTAATAAATTAGTTATTTTTAAACAAATTTAATTTTATTTATGTGCTTTCATATAATTTATAACATTTATGATTATAAAATAGTGTAGAATTAGAATGAAGTAAAAGAGAGTTAGCAGAGCTGCGGAGTGAGAAAAAGTGAGACGAATAAAGTCAGATTAAATACAACTTTTTATTGTATATGTTTTCTACCAATTTCTTTTTATACAATATGCAAATCTAATACTGGTGTTTAAAGATTTTTGAAAATCGCTTTTCGAAAATACCAATTCGAAATTCGAAAAACTGACCTCTAAATAAATTTGCAAACTCTTTTGAGTTATGAAAAATGACTTAAATTAAAACATTTCATTGTAGTTAAATTTAATGTATATTTTCATAATATATAAATTTTTTTATTGGAAGGCATGGTTTTGTTAATTAAAAAAGTTGAATATATATATATATTTTTTCTTTCTTTTATATAAGAAAGTATATACTGTCGAAGACTTTTAGAAGAATCCACAGTATTTAAAAAAGAGAAGTCGAATCAGAATTCGTATTACCATAAATACTTGTTGAACTTTTCCATTATACTAACTGTTTGTGACGGTAGACGTGCCAGTTAATCTGGTATAGTAAAACTAATTTATAAATTATTATGCTTTATACTTTTTTTAATCGTATATAAACAAATTATTAATTTGTTTTAATACGCTTCAAGGAGTTAATTTGTTACTCCTTGGATATTTTTTTCTTTCTTGTTGCAATTTTGTTTTCCTTTTAATACATAATACATAATACATTCGTAAAATATATATTTTAATTGCTTATGCGTAATGGTTCTCTCACTGAGATTTTGCTCCTTAGTGCAATTAAGGTTAATAATTATTAACAATAGCTTAATATTATTAATGCACTTACTGAAGCATATTTACTAGTAATGAACACAAATCTACTCAATATGCTCTGTCTCCCTCTTACTTAAATCTAACTCCTTTCAATAGAACTTCCGGTATTTTATATAGAATAAAAATAAACATTCTTTATACTGTGACAAAATTATAAATTTTCATACGTTTTCGTAGATAAAATTTTTCTTTTTTAATTGCAAACACAAATTGCATTCATTACATTCCGTTATTTCTCTTTTTTTCTTGTTTTTATTTTTTGTAGTGTATTCATTCGTTAATTGCATATATCGTTAACAGCTGTTTGAATGCATATGCATTTATATAAGAGTTAATCCTGTTTATTAAGACGAAAAAAATATATTTTTAATAATTAGAATTACCTCGACTTGCACCTCCACCACCGTTATTTGAGTAATAAGGTTTATTCATTTGACCTTGGGGGCCAGTGCTATTAGTGTTGTTATTATTTGAGCCTCCGGGGCCACCATTATTTGGACCACCAGGGCCTCCTTGATGACCATTTCCACCACCGCTAGCACCACCTTGTCTCATATTAGATGAGCGTTGACTTTGCTGCTGTTGTTGTTGCTGCTGTTGCTGCTGCTGCTGCTGCTGTTGCTGTGATTGTTGTTGTCCTTGTGGATGTTGTGGATAATTCGTTGGTCTTTGTATTGGTGTTGGATAGCGTCCTTGGCCACCTGCCTGCATACCTGGCGCTCCGCCACCTCCACCAGAACGATTACCAGAATTCATATTTTGTGCACCATTGCCACCTCCACCGACACGTTGTGCAACCTGTTGTGATTGTTGTTGTTGTTGTTGTTGTGCTTGAATTACTTGATTCTGTAAGTCCCACTATAATTAAAAATATATTATATTTAGTAAATTATAAAATCGATAAATAAATTTTATATCAATTTAAAAATACGCGAGTAAATGTTATCGCAGTTTTATTGTAAATTGAAGTGATCTAGTAAAAGGTAATGGTTCCAAAAGCATTATGGTTTATGTCTAATTAGGAATTCAGAAAAAAACCAAATAGGACTACAACAACAGTGAAAGGTAAGAAAAAGTTCTATGTTGAACGGCACTTGATTATCAAATTCGAATAATAACATCGCAAAGTAGACTCGACCGCTCCTGGAACCAGGATAAATTGGTGAGTAATTAGCTTACTATATTTGATGCAGACAGTTCCATCATTGAGGTAAACACTAGTTTATCTTCGCCAAATAAAGTTAAAGATTTGAAGATACACTAAATTTTTAATTAGTTTATTGAACTGCGATAAGGTCTTATTCAACAAAAAAAAAAACTAGGGACGCTAAGGGTTCTTATCTGCATTGTTTCCACTTACAATGGACGTCTTTCACTCCCAATTTGAGCACAACATGAAGAAGTTATCGGACTTATAGTGAATAACAGTAAGAAAGAGCAGTTTTAAACAACAAAATACATTATAAAACCGACTTCAGCTATTTTTCTAATGTAACTATATAAGGTAACCGTCTCGAGAGGCCTAATTTGTCTATTTATCTACAAATCTATCTTATCTATTTTATCTACTTTTGCTCAACAGAACAAAACTGAAGATTAATTGAGTTTTTTTTCATGCAAAACTTATCTTTCAGTTGGGATACAAGTAAAAGTCAAATTTGATGTAATCATTCTAACCCGACATTAAGTTTGTTTTTGCTAACTTAGAATACTAACGCATCGTATCTATTTTTAGATTCTAATGAACCAGTCAAATTAAACTTTTATCAATTCTCACGTCAGCACAATATTATCCAGTCAAGTGCTAATTTTCTGATTTAATTTGGTTGAATCTTCTAGATATTTTAGACAATTACTTTAGAATAACACTGCTTAATACTTACACTTCCGTAAGATTTATGATGTGGAGGACTCGGCTGTGATTGCACCTGCTTTGCTAGATTTAAACTTACGTCTGCGCCCAGCGGACTTTTTAGTTGACGACCCATCTAAAAAAAATAAAAAAATTTTTTTAATTATATAGCTATTTTTATATAACTCTCAAAAAAGAAGATAAAAAAAATCTGTATTGTTTTTTAAGTTAATAATATTTTCATACTGCAGGCGCACAGCCATTTGACGTAAAATAAAAATAAAATAAAATAAAATAAAATAAAAATTAAATAACAATAAAATAAAAATAAAATAAAAATTAAATAGCAATTAAATAACAATAAAAATAAAATAAAAATTAAATAACAATTAAATAACAATAAAAATAAAACTTTTATTTTAATAATTTTATTTTAATAATTTTATTTTAATAATTTTATTTTAATAATTTTATTTTAATAATTTTATTTTAATAATTTTACTAATGGCTATCAATTTCTAAAATAACAAATAAATAATTAATAAATTAATGTTTAGTGTGAATATTAAATATTTAATATTAATTAAAAATTATATTTAATGTATTAAATATAAATAATAAGTGTGAATTGCAAAATATATTTCGAAATGTTTAGAAAAAATATCAATGAAACTTACCGAATCTTGCATATGACCCTGTCCCTGGCTTGATTTCATATAAGCAGCAGCGGCAGCTTGTTGCGGTGTTGGTCCAGCGCGGAATTGGTTGATAGCTGCTGCTGCTAGTAAAGGTGAATTAATATACTGTGTATTAAAGTTACTCATTGTATGTTGAGATTGAGGTCCTGGTGGACCCTGAGGACCAGGTGGTCCATTAGAACCAGGTGGTCCGCCTTGATGACTATGGCCGCCATATAAACCTGCAGCAGCAGCAGCCGCAGCTGCTATTCCATAATTCTGTGCACCGGCGCCAGCACCTTGTGGTGGCGGTCCACCGTAATATGTGGGACCATTTGGACCACCTGCAGAATTTGAATAGAAACTGTTGGACTGTAATTGATGAGCGCCTGGTGGGCCAGGTGGACCAGCCTGGGGATGTTGCGGCGGTGGAGCGGCATATAAGTTCATATACTGTTGAGTTGCTGCAGCATATGGTCCACCGCCACCACCTCCTTTCGAACCAATTGTGCCTAGTTGTTGAGAAGATGGTGGTGGCTTAACTGAACCAACTGATGACATCAGAGAATTGGAATTCGACGATATTATTGCAACAGTTGCAGCATTAGGATTATTCAATTGTTGTGAATTGGGATTAGTAAATGGCGATGGTCCACCTCCCATACGAAATTGCGACGTTAAATTGGGATACATTTCCGGTGTTGGTGCTGTAGCCATATTTGGTGGTGTTTGCATTGTAAAAGCATTATAACCACTGGCGGCAGCAGCTGCTGCTGCTGCAGCACTATAATGACCGGGAAAACTATGAGCAGCTGCAGCGGAATATGCTTTCGAATGCTCAAGCGAGTGGAATGGCGCGTATAAACCTGCTTGCGATGGTGGTGGCATTTGTGAAGAATTAAACACAACTGCAGGTGGACTTGGTATTGTTGGTATGCCAGTAAATTGTGGCGATGCCTGATAGAACGGCTGTGGAGCAGCGTGCATCTGTTGCTGTTGCGCTGACTGCTGGTGTTGTTGTTGTAAGTTTGGTGGTGGTGACATACCAATAGATGATCCATGATGCATTTGCTTTGATGATGCTGATGCCTGTTGTTGTTTAACGACATCTGGATGTTTAATGGTTTGTTGTTGTTGCGATGATTGTTGCTGCTGTTGTGGACTGGGATAACAAACACTTGACTCATCACCAACTACAATACCACCACCAGGTGTAAATTGTTGTTCCAGTTGAGTAGGATCAAATGGCGATCCATGACTTCCGTATGAACTTTGAACAGGACCTGGTGAGGATAATGAGTGATGTTGCATTTGCATAGCTGCATAGTGAGGCATGTGTTGTTGCTGTTGATGTTGTTGTTGCGACGCCACAGCGGCTGCGGCAGCAGCGACGAAAGAAACAGCCGACATATGTCCACTTGCATCAACGACTTCAATTTGTTGTTGCTGTTGTTGTTGATGTTGCAATTGTGGATGCTGTGGCGCTTGCTCCCGTAATGAAGAACTAGCTTCTGTAACTGTCTCCCACACTTTCTTCACACTCGCTATTTTCATATTCAAATCTGCAGTTGAGTTGTTTTGAGATTGTTGCTGTTGTTGGTGTTGCTGAATATGCTGTTGGGTTTGTTGCTGTTGACTGGAATTGGCCGCCTGTTGTGAAACGGCATTAGTTTTCGCTTCGGCTTCAGCAACTTTTGCGGATCCTGTATACGTTTCAGGCGCATCTCCAAAAGTAAAACCAAGCTTCATATCTTTATCATAATCATTAGATGAGACGACAGATTCATTAGCTTTGGCGAATGACATTTGGGACAGAGCGTTGCTTAAGCTTTCCACAGATACATTAACATTTGAAACATTAGGTCCTTGTCCGGAAACTAGAGTCTCTGCACTGTGTTTTAATTGCGTTGACGAAGCAGCTGCTGCTTGAGCTTGCTGCTTGTAATTTGTATTCTCGAATATAATGGTATTAACAGGTGCACCATCCATTAACAATGTTGCACTGCCTTGTTTCTCAACAATACAGCTCGAGGAAGCAGATAATTTACTCTTTTCGATATCGGCGTTAGAGGTTCTTTGCAGCTGCTGTTGCTGTTGCTGTTGTCTACTCATGTTTATAGGTGTACCTGATTCTGATTTTGAGATGTCTGTGTTCTTCTGGGAACTTTGGAAAGTATTACTTGCATTGACCTGTGAGTTAGGTTTCATATTAGCACCACTTAGACCAGGTGGTGGTTTAGTAACAGTAGGTTGACTGGATGATTTTATCATAGATGAAGTTTGACTCGTTGGTATAGTTGCTGAAGATAAATCTTGCTTTTTTGTTTGAATGGAACCAGTGTTTGCTCTTTGACCAGATAACTGTCCAGAACTGTTACTACGCATCTGTACGCCTGACGAACCACTGGGTATGTCTTTTTCTTTGGAAACTGATTTTTTATCACGTTCGTTAGAACTTGCTTGAGAAACATCATCATTTTTGCAGCTTGAAGTACTTTCTTTACGTTGTTGATTATTAATTGAGACATTAGTACCGAATTGTTTTGGAGACGTAATATTTTTCTTTTCAGTTTCGCTTATTTTCTTCACTGTTTGTGCAGACGTAGGCTGTGGACTTTGTTGTTTTGTGCTCTGCTGTGCGGAAGCACGAGATTTATCATCTGTTGGCGATTCCTTAGATTTATTCAAACCAGCATTCAATGCGATTTGACTTTGCTTGGTCTTATCTAGATCAGTTGTATTAGAAGAATGGTCAGATTCCGAAGTTCGTTTGTTTTCTTTGTGGTCATCATAACTTTGTCGTCCATACTGACGACCAGTATTTGACGAACCTGACATACGACCATCGTTATTTCGTCTATATGAAGAACCAGTTGATCTTTCACCAATGTTACCGCCGCCCCCACGACCTCTGCGTGAAGGTTCACCACGTGGTGCAAATCCTTTAGAATTTCTATCGTCTGTACCAGTACGACGATTACCTTCTTTTCTTGGAACTTTAGGGCTTCGTTCTCCGCGTCGTCCCATGTACGCACCCTCATCATCAACATCTTCGGAATGCTCTGACTCACTTGGGAATGGAGGCTCATTGTTATAATAACGTGAGTTTCGTCCACCATTATTATGATTATTCCAGCCGCCATTATCGCGTCCACCGCGATAACTACTACCTTGGTAACGGGAATGAGTATGACGTAAGTCACGATCTCTATCACGATCACGATCCCGATCCCGATTTCCACCTGTACCTCGTGGACTTGATCTCTTTTGTTCACGTTGAGGAGCCGATTGATTGGCGATTACTCGGTTCTCTTCTTCACGCTTACCTTCGACAGTGCTAACAGATGATGGAATATCTTTGTTGACAGCATTGTTAGTAACTACCTGGTTACTATTTGTGCTGGTGGTCTCTTGTCGATTCTTTTGAGAATCTGTATTTTCGGTCTGGTTAACTGACGCAACTGGATGATTTTCTTCATTAAGCTTACTCATTTCATTCACAGCTGATTTATTTGGTGCGAATGTTGTTTTATCTTCACTTGAATCTGAGCGTCTCAAAATTTGGGTAGGTATAAAATGTGAACTGTCACTTTCACTGCGACGTTGCTGTTGCTGATTTTGTGCAGACGAATTACTTTGCGCTTGCTGCTGTTGAGATGATTCATGTTTTTTGCCTATTGGCGATACTTCCTCTTCGGAAACACTTTTTTGTGTACTTGGGCGTTGCAGTATTTTTATCGGTATTGATTCGTGGCTGTGCGACGACGAGAAACTTTCTTCTCGTTGACGTTTAAGTTCCGCGTCGGTTTCTTCAGCCCATGATGATGCTAATGAAGTGCTGCCAAACTCTTTTGATTCAGTGCCACCATGTTTAAGTGAATCATCATTTGATGATACGCTTGTTTTACGTTGCGAATTTTCCGATATGCTTCTAGACAAAGAATTTTGATTTACATTACGTCCGTAATCATCACGATCACTGTCATTTCTATGCCGATTATATCCACTATTCCTCATATAACCACCGTCACGATATTCATTTCGACCGGGATTTCGTTGCGCTTGACCACCTTTCTGCATGTAACGGCCAGATTCAAACGCAGACGAAGCTGATGCTGATTTTTCAAGTCCAGTGATAGAACGTGTTGGACCAGCGCTTGTGCCGCTGCTTCCATTTCCATCCATTGAAGATGAACCTTGCGAATGTATTTTTTGTTGTTTTTGAAAACGAGGCGGTAAATTGGATTGAAAATGAGCAGAGAAAATTTGTTTTGTAGAACCTGATGGAGCGGTTGCAGAATTTCCAGAGTTTCTAGCAAAATCATTCGTTCCTCTATTATCATAACGTCCACTGCGATCACTGTCCGGAGCTCTGCCACTGTTTGAAATAGTTCGTCTATTCTGTTGATTATGGTAATCATCATCAACAGCATTTGTAGGTCCTAAATTAGTTTGTTCGACACCAGTTATACTACCACTTGAAGATTTCTTACTATTCATTTTCATTTCAAGTTCCTGCAATTTTTTATTTGCAGCTTGTTTGCGTTCCAAGTCACGACGATCTTCTTCTTCTTTGCGTTGCTTTACTCGCTCATAGACACTAGCATCTAACGCAATTCCTCCAACACTATTACGATGACCATTTTGCTGGCGTGCGTCATCTTGTTCACCAGATTTTTCACGTTCAGAGCTGTCTCTTTGATCTTTATTACGTTGCCAAGTCGTTCCACTATTGTTTCCGGTACCTACACTTGCATTTGAATTCTTACGTTGATCTGTGCTAAAAGCTGCGTTATTTGTTTTATTAAATGATGGACGATCACGTTCTTGCGTTGGTGTTTGTTCTTCTGGTGATTCATCATCAGAAAATGTTAATTGTTTTGTATAATCAATATCATCCTGTTTAGTCCAGCTATCATCCTTAGCAATTGCATTTAAACGCTCTAAATCTTCTTCACGAATTATTGGTCTTTGCATTTGCACTACTTCTGGTTCTATTATAAATTCTTTTTCTTTTCTCATTCCAGATGTACCATTAGCTGACTGTCCAACAAGCGGCGGAGTATCCATTTGTGGTGGTCTTTTCGGAATAGCGGCAGCTGCACGAAAATTAGTAACAGCAGGTGAAATTGCACGATAATCATGTGTACCAGCATGTTGTGGCATTGGACGTTGAGGACGTCCACTAGTAGTATTTTCTTTATTACCAGTTATACCATTTTGATTTGGTGGAGTTTGTGAACGTCCGGCGGCGGTTGTGCCGCTATTACCTCCAGCTGGTATTGGAGCTCCGCGCTGCATAAATGATGGCATTAATGACAATATAGGCAGCGGTACCGCGGCTCCTCCCCCTCCACCACCGGTCGAATTATTTTGGGGGGCCTGGCCCTGTTGGTTCGATACGTTTTCGGCAGCACCTTTTGCTGCTTTCTCTTGTTGTTGTAGCCAAGCAGCAGCATCTGTTTGCGGGCGTAAGCTGACCTCGTTGAATTCCCGATGATGTTCGCTGTACATATGACCACCGTCTCCTTCTTTGCCATCTCTGTAATTGTGCGCATCGTAACGTTGATCGTTTGTATGACGGCCATGTTGATAGTCTCTTTGATGTGGATGATAGTTTTGATGATTTTGCTGTTGATATTGATGATGCTGATGCTGATGTTGTTGTTGTTGTTGCTGTTGTTGTTGATGATGATGGTGGTGTTGCTGTTGGTGTTGCTGCTGCTGTTGTTGTTGTTGATGATGATGATGATATTGCTGTTGTGATTGTTGATGATGGTTGTGATGATCTTTTTTGTTTGAAGAACCACCACCGCTTCCGCCGCCACCAACTGTGCCATCTAAAGTTGGAAACTCGTGCTGAAATTGTGCACTCTGGTAGAGTGGCGGCACAGCCGATTTGCCACCACCACTGCTCTTGTTGATGCTGTCGTTTCCTGTTGTGACAGCTGACCATGTTATTGGCGAGTTTTGTTGCTGATTTGTATTTGAAGAATTACGTAATTGTTGTGCTCCGCCACCGGATATAGACGCCGAAGAATTATTTATTAATTTGCTACCAATACCAACGACACTTGCGTTATTGTTATTAGTATTATTATTATTTCCAAGTACGGACTTGTTGCTATTTTTCAATAATGCTGTTGCGGTTTGTTGATTAGCCGTTCCAGTTGATGGTATCACTTGTCCGCTACCTGTTGGTGTGCCGACTAATAATATGAAATTAATAATATTTTAATTTATTTATTTATTGTTAAAACGATTTATATATATATAAAATGGAATATACAATAATTTTTATATGCAGCATACATACCTTCTTGTCCAGTAGATGTTATAGAATTGTTATTTGTTGTTGGCGAGATTGTTGTTTCAGCTTTTAAGGATGGTAGATTGGCTGGTGGTCGCCTTGCGGACGGCACTTTGCCCAAACTTTGCATTCCATGTTTACGTGGCACTTGATTCTTTTGTGCAGATGGTTCAGCGGATTCACCCTGTATAAGTTAATCAAAATTTATTTATATATTTTTATTTATTTACTTTATTTTATTTTTTTTTTTTTGTATGCAAAATTCTCTACTTACACGACTATTTTTGTACATTCGATTTATATCGAGTGCTGAGAACTTGGGCTTGGCATTTCGCTCTCCCCTACTTCCCCCCAGTGTACTCATGCTGCCAATAGATCCTCATTAGCGTTTTCTCTCCCTCGACCGCCTCAACTACTCTTCCTTTATTGCACGAACTAAGCGCGCTGTATTCTTTTTTTTTGTTTTGTTTTTTTATATCAATTTATTTAATTTTATAGCGGCTTTGAGAAACACTTATGCGACGACTTTGAAAAATTTCTTTACTATTTTTATTTTGATCAATTATTATATATTTAAATATATATATTTTTTTTTTAATTTTTGAGATTTTTTAATACAAAATTTATATAATACCTAAAAATTCGATTTTGTTCTTTAATCTTTTTATGCAATCTTCTGAATAAAAAGTTTGAAATTATAAATGTAAAACGGTTAAGAATAACAAAACGATATATACTTCTTTTTTTTTTTTTTTGCAAACAAGTAGAATATTTTACTTCTTCAATTAATAATTTATGTCCTTTCTTCTTTTTCTATAGCGAAAATATAAAAATAATTGCTAGAGTATCTTGCGGGTAACTTTAGTTTTTAATTCAAGATTCGCAGATTTTTTTCAAAGTTTTTTTTTTTGTTGTTGTTGTATTGTTTATAATTTTTCCTCAGTCTTCATGTGTAAAAACCTACAAATAAAAAAGAAACGTTTAATTTATATACATATATATTTTTTTTTCGATGTAAAATATAAACAAATGGTATGGTATCAAATGAAATTATAAAAAAAAACAGTTTTTATAACAAATATGTTTTGATTGTTTATCACTTATAAATTCTGTTTCTCTTCTAAACTATATATGATTCAGTGACTAAGAATGTCCGTCTGTTTTTTTGTAAATGTAATTAAAGTGATAATTTACATAAAACTATATAATAAAGAAAACATTTACTGCAGTTAAAAATAAAATTGTAAAAACTGTTTTAAGTGTGGACATGACATACATAATAGAATACTTATGAAATTATAAATGTATTTATTTACTAGTATTGTATTAAGACTACGACCTAATTTAAAAACATTTGTGTTATTTTTATATAAAATATATACATATTTTCCTTTATAATATCTATTACTTAAACCTATTAGAATAATTATAAAAACATATTTATTTAATATAGTAATGTAAGATTTAATATAAAACTTAAAAAAAAAATTTTATCTGGCAATGATGAAAGAAAAAACCCAAAAAACCAGTCAAATCTTTCCGTACAAAATGTATAGGGCAAAAAAGGACAAACATATAATCCGCAGAATCGGCAAAAATATAGCAAACTCTGCATTAAATACTAAAGGATAAAATAAAATGCTAAAAGAAATATAAAACTTAACGAAAAATGCGGCGTCTTGCAATAATGGCGAAGGAAGTAAAATTTACATGAATTTGTATTGTACGATGAATAGCTCGAAACGAGAGGATATAAATTCTCCGAAATGTAGGCAATTTATGCATACAGACTTTTAACATTATAAAAATTAATTAATTAATATATAAATGCTATATAGCATACTATTTAATATAACATTAACACACTCTTTTTCATATTACTCAACTATTATTTAACACAGAAAACATGATTTTTGTTGTGAGCTTACCGACAAATCAATGACGAAATTTTGTTGGTTTTTTTTCCCCTTATTAAACAAATAAATAAACTATTGCATGTTATATAAAAAGTTTTAAGAAAATAATAAGAACTTTTATTACAAGCTTATGTAGTTTTCTTTTTTTTTTCTTAAATTTGCACTTTATTTTGACAACTTTAAATTCACAAATCAAATTGAATGCAATTTTTTTAACGACACTAGCTTCCCGTTTTTTTTCTTTTTTCTGAGTGAAGCAAATATTAATCGAAAACTAAGATTTTTAACAGAACTTCACTATAAACAACACATACACTTTATTGCAAATTGTTTTTTAAATAATATATAATTATTTTCTTAGTTTTTATAGCAATTTGATTATATTTTAGTGGAAAAACATCCCACAAGAAAGTTTTTCGTTTTGCACTCGTCTTCTTACTTGACGTCGGGGCGATTCGTTATTCGTTGCCTTTGTCTTTGGTTAGGAAAAATTAACGAAACTTCAAAATAAAATCATAAAAAATGAACTCATTTAACCTTAGTAAGAAAGAGACAGATAGCTACCTGCTACATACTATGTGTCAAAAAGTGAAACTACTAAATAAAATGAAAGAATTCTTAAATTTATTTTTCCATTGAAATATACAGCATCTACGATTTTGTTTGTTTAAAATTGTCAGACATAAATAAAAAGAAAATCATTTATTTAAAAAATTATCTTAAAAAAGATCTTTAATCGAGACTAAAATGTAACCATAAATACTTTCATTAACATTTATGAAGGGTGCATGAATATTTTATAATTTTGTAATTTTTATACATTATATTAAGATTTTTAATTTAAATTTATTTGCATACATAAAGTTTACACTGTTAAGCAATTTAAAATACTTCTATAAAATTGTTTTCCATAGAATTTGTTAAAATTGCATATAAATCTTTGTGCCGGTAATAAGTGCATGCAAATAAAAGGGTACACTTATAAAATTTATACACTATTACACTGTTTACCTCTTTCCGCAACCACATACACTGCACAGTGATGAAGCGTGGAATTGCAAAAATATTGTAATTGCTTTAGTTTATTCCGTTTTTCATTTACACAACTTATAGAAAGAATTCGCTTATCTCCTCTAACTGCTTGCTTTATTGCAAGTTACTGATACTCTTTTTTTTTCTTCACTAAATACACTTTGTTGATTATAGTATTAATAATTAAGATTTATACCATTTGTATATAAAACACCTAAATAACTTAAAAACAGTTAACTACAATTGTAAATTATTTAGTTCATTTAATTTTTATGTATATTTTTCACGTCTACCGTCACGAACAGGATAGATAAACTCTTCGATGCGTTGCAAATACTAAAATAACTACATAATGAAAATTCGTGATAACAACAAAGCGGAATGGAAACTCATATTCTGCAGATAATATAAAAACTGGCAAAAATAGGCAATGAAGCTAAAATTAATTATTTGCATAATGTTTTAAGGTCATGTGCGAGTTCTAGGTAATTCAGGTAAAATTAATTGAAATTTCCTAGGGATTTTTTGCATTGCATTTATGCAATATACTTTTTTATTTTGTATTTATTTATTTTTGGTTAAAAGTTAAAAATTTATTTATACATTTATTAAAAATTTTTAAATTTTTACAATGCTAAAAGCTAATTTACCAAATTTTTGTCTAATTTATCCTACTCGAAATTCTGGTAAATAGCAACATTCGCTACCACACCGATATAATTTAATATTTCTCTCAATTTACTCGAACTCGCACACAGTCTAATTAATTTGTAACCAAACGATTTTAATAAAGTGTTGTTAAAAAATAAAAAATTAGGATAAATAAATCATAATTTAATTTTACAATAATTTTTATTTTATCGATATATCAACTTTAGTCTATTTATTTTTACAAATATAGTTTTAATTTTTTTATGGCAGAGATGTCAGTAGCCAGGAACATATACAGGTACGATTACCTGCGAATGTTAGTTCCTTTGCAAGCGCTCGCTTTAGTGTGGATGTTCTTAAGTGTGACAAGGTGTTCTTAGCGAACAATTTTTGTTTTTGAATAATTAAAAAACGTTTATGTGTAAATTATATTAACAATTGAAGATGGATTGAGCACACACTCCCCCAAAATTCTATTGATATATCAATAGCATTAGACGAAAATCTGAAAGACCACGTAACACTTGAGGAAGGTCGGTTTTAGCAGATCTTGAGTCTAAAGGATTTAAGTGATTACAAATAAAAACATTATCTCTAAATAGAATAAGATATTGTAATTGAAATTGCGATCTTATACTATATTCAGACATACCTTAATTTCACAAAAATCTTTATTTCATCTCTGTTTCAGCGAAATTACGTTGTTTTTTGTATACAAAATTCAGTTTTGAGGTAAGTACGAAATTAATGTAATTATCCTTAATTTCAGCCTTTATTTCAAGGACATTTCAAATGCAACTGTGCATAAGATAAATTTTGAGCAAAAGATAAAGTTGAGATAAGGAAAAAGTGACATTTTTATTTGAAAATAATGCAAATTTTTAGATTTGAATATGGGGATACAACTGTAGCTATTATTAATTTTAAATAGAGTGAATAATAATTTTTCACATACCTGAAATCAACTAAACATAATAAAAATACTGAGTGCCACCCATTATAGTTATAATAATCAACTTTTAAAATTTCACAGATTCAAATGGTAATTTTTCTTTAATTTGGAGCAATATGAACACTTTTAATATTAACTTACTTTCATTTACATATACAAAATTAACAAATTAACAATTTTCATATTATTTGTTCATATCCAAAAATTTCTGGTTATGAAAATACTATTGTGAATAATAGAATAGAAGTAGTGAGAAAAATGACAATTCATACGTTTAGACGCACATCATATGTTTGGTGTAGTTTTTATCTACTTTACGCCAGTGTATTTCTCATACTTAATTTGTGCATATATTAACTTGTCTAAAAGGTGAAAACAGTTAATAATATTTTACCATAAAACATGATGTAGTTTTAGTGTTATACTATCTATATAAAAACAACTAAATAAAATAATAATATAGAAAATAAAAGTAATGGCAAGGACTATGAAAGTATTTCATACAAACAATTATACACTTTTATAAAATAATTTTAATAAAATAATTTATAAACAATATTTTGACTCATGTATGTAATATTGAGATTTAATTCATTATTATTTAAAATTATTAATTTACTAATTAAATATTTTACAATGAAGAAAGTGACGCGAGTGGTATTATTTTCAAGGAAGCGTCTTTTTTTTATCTTCGTTTGTGGGTTCTGTTTGTATTTTTTTTAAATTATCCGTTAAGTAAAAATAATCAATTATTTATAAAAAATAATTTAATTAACTTATAGAAGTCTTCAAAAATATTAAATTAATCCTTTTTTAGTTTATTACGTACGTATATAAGTCATTTAAATTAAACTAGTATTAAAAAATTAATAAAAAATTTTAATTTATTAATTAAAAATTAATTTCAACTAATTAATGTGTTACATATAAACTATCTGATAAATTTTTCATATTTTTAACGATATTTAATAACAGTTACTATTTATTTTACAGTAGCAAATCAAAGATTATATCTTGAACATGGACTGTTTTAATAAAGAGGAAGAGTTTTGCAGATACTTGTGTTCTGAACTTAAAAAAGTCAAACAAGAGGAAACATTTGATGATCTGAAGATAGAAATACTACAATTGGTAACGTCAACAATTAAAACAGAGAAATCAATGTTGAAAAATACTCAAAAAAATATCAAACGACAAAATAATATTAATTATACAACAGCAAAGCGACAAAATTTGGGTAAATCCTTTACACCTATTCCTATTTCACAGTCAACAGCCATTGAATATCTTGAAGATCCTCTAGATACTGGAATTCTCTCCGACTGAATAATTGTTCTATAAAATATAAGTAAAATATTAATATTTTAATTTTACTTTTTTTAGGGAGCAAATAATACTCGGAAATCTCCCATAAGTATTTTTTTTTTTTTGTAGTTCTAACATATAGCGTTTTTCGATTGATAAATCTGAATTCAATCTAGATATACTCACGATCTGTCGAGAAAGTAATCTTACCTTTTTGCATTTGTGCATATATATTTTCCATAAACAATTCATATTCATATGTCATATAAAACAGCTGTGAATTTCGGGGTAATCTTGCTAATCTGGCCAAATATCTAGAGTGAAAAATTAATTTCGAGTGTTATACATTTCACTCGAGATTTATTAATTGAAAATAAAAACTGATCTGATTTAAAAATCTTACCCTTGATTTACCAATCGAAAACAGCAATAATAGTTTTTTTATATTTGTATATATGTATATAGTATATTAAATTATATAAAAATGGTTTTTATTAGTGGAAAGAATAATATACTCTTAGTTTATATCTATTGTGATTAGAAATTAAAATACTTAAAGTGATGAACACGATGTTTTTAAATCTTATATTAAATTATTTTAATTATTTTTTATAAACAACTTCCATTTATTTTACAATAAAATAAAAAGATGCAAACATTATAGTTAAAATTGTTTATTAGCTTTAATGAGTAATAACATAAAATTAGCTATATATATTGTATATGTAATATATGCAAATAATATATATTACTAATAAAATTATTGTATAATAATATTGTATAAATTTATGTTACTTTTATATTTGTGTTTTATTTTGCAGTTAAAATAATTTTAAAATTGTTGAAATTTTTCCGGTATAAAATAAATATCTAGGTCTACATCTAATATCAGTTGAAGAAATAGAACTGTGTAAAGTAGATTCAATTAAGGAGGTAGAATAGACCTCTATGTGGCAGTGCAAAGTCGCCCAACTTAATAATCATACAGGGAGCTTTCTTAACACTGCATACTGCCGGTATCTTACTATTTATTTAAAGACATTGAGTATATTTTGATGTTTCAGCGCTATAAAATATGTAACCGTTTTGAACCCATGCTGGTGGTACCTAAAGTTAAGAAGTCTTAAGATAAATTAAGTTGTTGTTGTGTCCCGTTGGAACCTGCTTTCGTAGTCCTTTCGGGAAGTGTTGAACGGCACTTGGTTTCAGGACGTAAACCCGACCATTCTTGGAACTTAAATAAATTAAGTAATCAATTTTACCTGCACTATTAGTTATTACCACATAACAGCGCGAGTCTATGAGCAATTTATATTTTTTATTCTTCGTTTATTTTTTAAACGAAAGAATCTTCCATCATGTAAAGATGTAGGAAGATGATGGAAGATGTGTAAACATGATATATTTCTGATGTATAAAACGCATTAATTTTATAACTGTAAATCAGAATAAAGTCATATAAAGAAAAGGAAAAAGAATTTTGAGTTCAAAGTAATTAACGAAGTTATTATTTAAACCATATTTCAAATAGTAAGTTCGAGTAGCCGCAGATTTTGAACCATTGCGATAAACCCCATACATCATCAATCCGCCCCTAATACGTAATTCTCCCATACCCACAATTAACCATTACCTATCCATATCCTAACCCATGCTTTCGTCTTGTAATTCCTTTAATATTATCAGCTGTTCAGATACCAGCGGAATACAACATCAACCATTACGATGATTGTTATTTCTAAAAAATCAACATTAAATAGGAGTATAGCTATTCCTTAATTTTGGATGTTTTTTTCAGGTAAAAAAGAACATAACACCCTATTAATTGTATCAATCATTTTAACTATACATTATATATAAAAATTAGTAACAAAAATTATTGGTAAATCTGAACGATATTGAATTTTTCACAAAGAGTTCTTCCTGTAGGAAACGTCGGTATTAATATTTTTAATGTAGTAAAAGTGCTAGGTAACAGCACTATAAACACAATATAAATAGACTCTGTATAAACTAAGAGGGGTTTTGAAGAAACATCGCAGTTAATAGAGAGTAAAAGTGCTCAGGTGGACTGACTCAACTAGCCTCAACATAATATATAAAACAATATTAATGCAAGTACAGTTATACACAATGACATTACTTCCTTCTATTAAATATTTAAAATAATACAACATATTTCAAACATTTCAATATGTTAAAAAGTTTATTTAATATATGTACTACTTTTCGACTAATTCATATCACTAAGATATTTAGCATATAGCTGCATTTAAAATGTATATATTAAATTATTAATCAATAATACTATATTAACAATAATTATTTTAAGTGTATACATAAATTTAAAATACGTACTACGTTATTTTTTTTCGAACTATGTATATATGTAAATACTTTCTAATCATATATATATTTTATAAATTATTTAATATTATTTTATTCACTCTACATTTAAACAGTAATTTTGAATTATATGACATAATTGATCACAAATATTTTAATTTATTATTACTTTTACCTTCATTTCGCTGTAAAGTTACTTAATATAAACTTAATGAACTATTAAGATTTATTGTTTTATATTCAAATAATATATGGTATATAAACTCAAAATTATTTTAAATTCGAGTTGAATAAATTGAATAAATAAAATGTAAAACTTAAGATAGTTTTGATAGAGAAAAGTGATTTGAAGGCACAAGGATTACAGAATTAAAATAATTAGCATAAGTCTTGATTGAAAGTGTGTTTGGACAATAAACATTTAACAATAAAATGAGAACAATAAAGTATATATAGTAATTGGTTGTAAAAAGGAAAGAAAATTATATAAAGTCTTATATATATAAATACTTAAATTTGTGGAACATAGGATTTGTTTTTAATGATATAATTCTAAAGTTTTTTATTGCTGTTGTATTTCATTTATAAATTCAGATTTCTAAATTGCTTAATTTATTTAAAAAATGGATTCTTAGATACTGAGGACTTCATAGTGCATAATATTTGACGTTCCATTTGAAAATCATAATCAAGTCCTTTAAGCACATCAGTTATTTGTGGCAGTGTTTCGAGCTGAAATAATAAAAAAAAAATAATTAATAAATATAAAATATATTATTGTTAAATGTTTTTACTATGAAAGAATCAATTTTATCAATGAACTAAATATTTAAAATTAGTAAATTAATATATATAAATGCAGTCTATGTAATTTTATTCGTTAGTAAAACCATTTCATATATATTATCGGTAATAATAAAATAGAAAAATTATAGAAGAGTTTTTGTATTGTAGTGAATCACAACAACAAAATGTTTTTTTACTTTATAATTGATTTAAAAAATAAAATTCAATATAGAAAAAATTCTAGTTTTACTATAAGGTATTAAATCCCTAGGTTTTGTAACATGTTTCTTATAGACACTCAAATCTCCAACAGTTTTATATCTGAAAGAGGTTTGTTACCTCCTTGTTACTATTTATTATTATCAAAAACATTGTAGATATTTTCAAAACATTGTAGATATGTGGTACTTCTGTATTACCACTATATTGTCAATTAAAACACTTTTAATTATATGTTGTAAATGTTTATTATTTTGCGAGCATTAATTGTTTTATTATTATTATGTTGAGACTAGTTGAGTCAATTAAATGCAAGGTTTCTTTATAACTCCTCTTTACACCTTGACTGGATTATTGTTTATCACTTCATCAGACTAAGCAATAATTGACCACAGATCTGCATACCTCCCCGAGAAGCCTGTAACTAATCTGAGAGTCGATAACGTGGTGTTAGTAAGCCTGTCAGTTTTCGTAATTAATTTTAGGCCTCCAGACTTTATATATTTTTTGATCGAAACAATCTTGTGGTCTCTGAGGATGTCATTCATCTTAATGTACCATGATATCTTGAAAAGTCTTCTCAGAACTGGCTTTGTGCAATTTCTAACAGGCGAATAGTAGTGTTTGAGGCCTTGCTAAAAGCTAAACATATTGAAGTGTGGATCGAAATTAGCATTATATTATTTTACATGTTAGTACGTGTCGCCAGATGGCGTTGCGCTGGTTAATGTGCTCGTCACAGATATTAATTTTTATTCTAACAGTTAATACTTTTTATCCCATTTATTATTGGCAGAACTAATAGTCTGTTCTGATATAAATATTCTAATAATTTGGTTTCACTTTAAAAGCTTATATTAATAAATTCAAATCTCTTAAGTCCTATGATGCTTATTCTTTTTTCCTCTAATTTCTAGTGTTTTTTAAATGACTTGCGAAAATCCTATCACAATTCCAACCAATTTTATTTTATTTAAGGTACAAGTCAATTATTAAAATAGTGATAAAAAAATATTTTAAATATTATTAGAAAAAGTAATCAATTAGCATTAAGTTAATTAGATAGAAATCTTCTTAGTGCAAGTCAATTTAATCAGAAAATTGTCATGCAACTGATAAAATATTTAACACATGGTTTATTGGGAAAATACTTTGATAATAATTAAATCAATTATAATAACAATAAATATCTATATACATAAAAGTACTGGAGCTAACTTAAATGTAGAACAATCAAATAATTTTGAAATATATCTAATACATACACAAATTCAGAGTACCAAATCAATTTTAAAGGAAGGTTTTAGGTTTAATAGAAGCTTAATAAAGCTTATTTAAAACCCAAACAAAATAAAAGTTAATAATTTATTACTTATTCTTTTTTCTTCATCTACTAAATCTTCTTTTTGTTGCTAATATTATAATAATATTTATTTAGGTTAAGTACTTACAGTTTGATTTGTTTGTTTGAGAATTGGATTTATTATAAATGGCACACCATCAAGTTCTGTGTAGGCACCTAATGTACCCACACTATGACCAGAAGTATTAGTGGCAACAGCTGTGCTAGGTGGTCTTGGAGCTGGACGTAGCGGTGAATTTATTTGATAGGAAGCCTGTATTTCTTCATAATCATGTTCTGTATCTTTTGGCACTGGTGGCAACTATTAAAAAAAATAAAATATAATTAATTTAAAATATTTCAAAAATAATACAAAAACTTACAGGCTGTTGTGGGTTCCAATTATTGCCACCATTCAAATTTAGACGATTTAGCGCTTTTTCGATTTCAGTACTGCCATTGCTGCTATTGCAATTGCCATTTATCTGTGGTGATTGTAAACCTGGTACAGGTGGAGGTAAGCGTACTGGTACAGTGCCTGTTTTGAAGCAAACTAAAACACCGTTGATATCACTACAAATAGAAAAGCATAATTAATTATTTGCCCACAAATTAATTGGATATCATTGTTTTAGCACATACCCAGCTAATTTAAAGCCATCCGGTGCAATTTTCATTTTTGAACATAAAATAATGTCAGTTACGGCATGTGTAACTGTTCCACGTTTGGATAGTTTGTAGGCTATTTGTCGTTTACGCCAAGCTTTCTGTTCTGTATCAGCTGTACGGGATAGTAATGAGAACTCTTTGGGTGGTTGGATTTTTTCCGCTATCACTCTAGAATACAAATACGTATAAAATAATTATTATTATTATTAAAACATTAATATTAAGTAAAATGTACTTTATTAAATCTGATTGTAATCAAGTTGTTTGATAAGTATCGTAATAAGTATAACATTGGCGTATTTAACTTATTTATAGATCTTCGGTAAACATATGACACCTTAAACCAAAAACATGTTTCAAATCGATTACTTAAGACACAGTGTGATAAATCACTAAAATTACCTTTTAAGAATAAATGAAGAAGATTTTCAACACAATGTGGAAACTTCATTCCAGTAAGAGACTCCAGGAGAGACTTGGTCAAGAGGTTTAATACCTAGAGGCCTATGTTTATCTGAACTAGAAAGCATGGACGTGGCACAGGTAGACGGGGAATCGAATACTTAAGATACGGAATCAAAGTGAATAAAACATAACAATAAACTCAAACTCAAAAGCATATATCTAAGATTTCTATGTATCATATCATATGTAAGAAATTGTACCGTATTCTCTTCTCTGGATATTACCTGATGCTTGACTGTATATAAGGTGAAATGTACGAAGATGGAAGAATAATTAACAAATCATGAAAATGTATATACACGCTGACGATTTGCTTATAATAATAAAACGTAAAACTCCATTTGTCTATTTATTTAAAAATAAAAATGGTAAAATTATGACTACAGTCAAGTAATGACCCAATCGTGTAAAATCTGCACTCTGCAATATTAGCAATACCTTCACGTTTTAATAAGCTGTAATGATAATACTATCTTATCATTAATAATGATACAATAATCGGTGACTGGTTTTAGTTTCCTTCAACAAATCTTTTCACAGATTCCAACTGCGGATCGATGTCATCCAGTTGAGTAACGATATTCTTCAAAATTCCTGCTTTTCACAAACTTTCCAGCACAGATATAAATTGCTGACCCGATTGCAAATCAATATAATCTAGTTGAACGCCTCTTGATTAGAAACATCATAACCTATGCCATTCTTTTAACGAAAGTACAGTCTACCGCCACTTACTACTAACGAATTTTCAAGCAACCTCTTCTCTCGCTTAAGGTAGTTGCTTTAATCATTCCAATTTTCCGAGTCTTAGTTTTGTTAGTATATATGATTTCAGATAGAATGTTTATAGTGTTTAAAGATTTGTCTTTATAGTGGTTTCCGATTACCTTTTTGAAAATATATGGAGCTAGCTAACAATTCTATTTTATGGTATAAGATACATTGCACATATGAATAAGTAGTAAAAAATTTAATACTGAACACTCCAGTTTTGGATCAGTATATGTGAGTGCTAGCTGTCTTCAACCACAAAATAAAACAGAAAATATATAAAATCATTCAAATAGAATTTGATAAACTATAGTGACGATTCACAAGCTTTGAATGCATTTCTCTAAAATGTAGTAAGAAACATTAAAGTATAAGTTTGCTTTGATTGAGATATAGCGTCGGAACTACCTAACATATGTACCTACACATCCATAGTTTATTACAAATTAAAGACAAAGACTACGAAAAAGTTCAAAGTAAGGCGTTAAAGATGGTTAACGAAATATTTCTGTTGAAAACTGAAGAGTGGACATCACTTTATAAAACCGTCTGTAGAAAAAGATAATGATCTACTAAGGACCATAAAAAATTATATTTAAATATTTTTAATAAAATAAATACAAACAAAACAAATTAGGCATTAATTTCCTATATAAAAGAGTTTAATTATCCATCAATTAAAACATTATATTTTTTATTAACTGTTATCAACTCTTACTGACTCATGTTTAACAAACGTCATTATTAAACAATTTTATCAACAGTATTTGGTAAATAAAAAACTTTATCTTAACTTACTCATTTTAGAAGCTTTCCATAATTAATAACAAGAGGAAATTATTATTATCATAAACAAATTTTTATTATACTTTGAAGTGTTTGAGACAAGTGATTTATTTTAAACAAAATGAATAGAATATTTTTTAAAATTAGGCTCAAAAGCCGAAAACGCTTACCGAGCTATAAAAACAACATGACCTTGAAGCAAAAATCGTGTTATGGCACTTTTAAAAATAGCCAGAACGCGTTGTGGTCATTGTTAAATGTTCAAATGACTAAAGGAATTGAAAAATTGCATACCCAGTTGCCTGAATCCGATACTAGGTGAATCAAGACAGTAAATGCTTTTAGCATCCTTCAAGATTATTAGTAAATTTTCTTTTCGAATTTATATGGAGGATGAACAAAAAAATCTATACTGTATACATTTTTTTCTCAGAGAGAATAAAACTAATTGGAGAGTAATTTTATCGTCCCTGTACATTAACCCTGTACATTTTTTTTCTACTTTGGAAGTTTTTTGTCTCTCGTTGTTTCAATCAACCCGCTTTCAATTGTTTTGTTTTTCATTGCGGTAAATGAAACAACGACTGGTTAATGGTGCTGAGTCGGTGAGGATGAATAATGCGGAGTTATAGTCTTGAAACTTCGAAAACCATTTTGCATCATCATTATAAATAATTGAATTAAAGATTGTTATGTTTATAAGTCTTCTCTTGGCTATTGACAGTATATAACTTTTAGTTACGAATGTTTATTTTCTTAGATTAGTTCAGTCTATAAAATATATGAAAAATATCTTTTTTATTTTGTATTGTTGTATTTTCTTTGTGCATTGCCAGAGTTTTTATCAATTTCATATCCCGCCTAATACTAGATACACACGAGACTTTTGTTTGTAAGTTTAGCTGTAAAAAATTTTCATTTTGCATTAAAAACAACAACAATTGACAACTAAAATTACAAACGTGACAGCTAAAGTCACAAAAATGACAGCTAAAATTACAAACATGACAACTAAAAATACAAACATGACAGCTAAAATTACTAACAACACTCTCGTGTGAATCGAGGTACAACCAACTTACTCAAAATCGAGTTTTTGTCTTGTGTGTTTAGAGAGAGAGATATAGTTCATTAGCACTTTTATTTGTTGTTTTTGATTTATTCTAATAATATGATTACCACAATACAGACGCTCGGATTATGACATTATAATTATATTAGCTTCTTTACATAGGCAGAGCTATTCATTCATATCACACTGTGTATAAGCCCCACATTTACTGAAGAAAATGTTGAAATGTAATTAATCATATTTTTATTTAGAAGTATATATTTAGCTTAAGAAAAATAAATAATCTCTTAATTCAACATTTAAATTTAGTATATCCAATATCTGTGTACTTTGACTCACATTTAAGCAAAAGTAAATAAACCAAACATATCATTCACACTCCGCTTAAACTAGAAGACCATAACATCTTACTATAATATATGTATATATGTACATAATGCTGATATAACATAATATTTGTAGATATAAATCTTATCTGCTAAAGCAGTTAAACGTAGGTCAAGGCTCTTATAAATAAATTAAATAAATCTAATAGTATTAGAAGTGTTTAGCTGTATGGCTTCTAATAGGTAAGTACGTTTTACTGCATAAATTAGTGAACTCCTAAAAATGCTCCGTGATTTTTAGTTAATGGTAGAAACAATGGTTCGTCACGTAAAATGTAAATTGTTTACTTAATTTTTTTACAAGTTTTTTAAGTCTGTAGCTCAGTAATGTCAACGCACTTTAACATTAATTTAACATTAATTTAAAACCATTTAACAAAATTGAATCTTTTATTTATTTTTTAACGTAGACTATATTATCAAAACAATAAAGTCAGTACTTTTCTTCACTACTCGTATATTTCTATGTTCTGATTTCTGAGTGCCCCGTGCAGTACTTGTAAGACTGACATAAAACGTTACGAAATCAAAACTTAATTAGATATATATATTGTAGAAGCAGAAAAATAGTTCATGATCGTTTATTATCAATGTAGGTAAAAAACAGACGCAGAACGCGAACGGCGCAGTACATACATATGTAATTGTTTTATTTAAATAAAATAACAAAAATAAAAACAAATTGCAGTTGGTGCTCTAAATTAAAATGATAAGATTACAAACCTAAAGATAACAGACAAACAAATAGTTTATATTTATAAAATTTAAATAATCGTCTTTGGAAAATGTGTAACTGGTACTGCAATTCAAAAGTGACAATATTATGTTTTAAGCAGATTATAAATTTATTTTATAAATAAATTATATAAATATAAATATAAATAAATTTATATAAGTATAAAATAATATACTTTTATTAAACAATAATAATTATACTGATATGGTGAAAGATATTGAGGGTCTCTCACAACATACAACAGTACAGTGGCGTAACTACATTTTTTAGGCCCATAAGCAAATTCTAACTGAGGAGCTCCTACTAATATCTTTTTATACCCTTTACTCAAAAAAGAGTATAAAAGGTATATTAGGCTTGTCAAGATTTTCGTATCGTCTGTTTGAAGTCTGTTTCAGTATCTGAACAATGTGTCAATTTATTCTGTGTATCACAATTAGCAAAGGCATCATTTAAATCGTTTACTCCTTTAGTTTTGTTTTCATTTATTTTAAGAAAATTGTCTAGTTTTGGTAATTTCTTTAATGTTAATAATGAATGCATAAATTTATAATGGGGCCCCCTAAGTTCGGGGGCCCGAAAGCGTTGCTTCCAGTCGCTTCCCTGTAGTTACGCCACTGCAACAGTATTATGACTTCAATAGTTGTTTCGTACTTAACCACAAATTTCTTATTAAGCATTATAGTAAAACTAAAAAGAATAGAAAAAATACCTATTTAATGATTAAAATGTCTTTTATTGGTGAGATTCGGTTTACTAACATGTTTAGGAACTCTTGCTCAAAATAAAACTCTTGTTTTAAGTTTTTCACAGACCGACAATGAGCCTGGAACAGATCCTTATTAAGCATTATAGTAAAACCAAAAAAAAAAAATGGGAAAAATATCTACATAAAGATCAAAATGTCTTCTGTTGTGGAGTTTTTATTTACCGACATGTTTAGGAACTCTTGGTCAAAATAGAACTCTTGTTTTAACTGTATCTCAGACCGACACTGGGTCTGGGACATGATTAATATTCTTATTATATTTGTAAAATAATCTCGTTAAAATGATATTCCAGACATAATTGGTATATTAATTAGAGAGTTGTTCTAGCATAACACCTTAACTATAGTAGACCCCAATAAAATTGAAAGCTACTACCTCAGATTAAAAACACTTTTATTAATAAAAATTTATAATATGCCAACTGATTACACATAAAAACTTGGTCCGCTGAAGTATATGTGTGATTAAGTTCCATTAAGGTTCGTTTAAACATTCTGTACCAATAGTTCCTGCATGACCAAGCACAATTTTTGAAAGTATAACTTGATATTGATTTACAGTGTAACATAACAATCAATTTGTGGTTTCAAAAAATCTCCAGTATTTTAATCACAGTTTGAACATACACATAAATATAGACATATAGATACAGACTTCCATAAAATATTTAGAGGTTTTAACGTAGCCACTGGTCTCAATGACATGAATTTTCTGTACTTGAAAAAAAGAAGCTTTTGTTACAACTAGGAACTCTTGATCATATGTATAAGTACACACATATAGATATAAATATAGACTTCTATAAAACAATTAGACCGGTTAATTGAGTCACTGGTTTCAATGATGTAAATTTTATCTGCTTAAAATATAGCAAGTTCTATTGATATATTGACTATTTTTAGTTTTAAAATAATCAATATATCAAATCAGTATATAATCAGTATATTTTGCCATATCATAAAATTGTGGATGAGACCTTTGAATGTCCAGTCGAAGTTGAATTACATATTTATGCACTTCACTTGGCACAAGCATATACAAAAGAAGTAGCTGCGCAAAAACACTGCACTGCTTACAACCACTTTTCAAACCCAACAACCTTAGCGCGAAGAACAGAAAGCTGATCTATAGTCAGATAATTAGACCAGCACTACTTTATGGGTGTGTCGCGTATAGCAAAGCTGCCAACTCTACTATCCAAAAGCTACAAGTTGCTCAAAGTCAGGCTCTTCGAAAGTTCTTCAAAGTGTCATGGTACATCCGCACGAATGACATGCTAAGAGACCTTAGAATAGATTCGGTCAAAAAATACAAAAGGGACAGAGAAGCTATATGCGAAATCCGACAGGCTGCCCTACTTAGCACTATCTAATTTCAGAGTAATCATTAACCACACGGGGCGGTACGCAGATCTTAAATCATTCATTGAATAATCAAGAAGATTACGAGGAATACTCAAATTAGTCAGTGAGATGGGACGGACTCCCATTTCGATTCAATGGGGCAATTCCATTTTTATTTAAATGATAAAGACAGACACCTATTACTTCTGATTTTATCGTGGATTAGGTATATACGACACTTTTGGTAGTTGTTGATAATCATTTGAAGTGTATTGCACTTAGCGATAGTAGTTGTTGTTATACCCTTATTTGTGAGAAAGTCTATCAGAGTCGTCTTTCTTATGAATGATGTTACACTCCGACTAGAATATGGAAAATTATCGTTTCATGCAAACGATAAATGGGTCAACTGTTTTTCGTTTACGGCATGTAAAGGTTATTCACTAAAATCGAAGAAATGTTTACAGCAAAGATTTCATTTGTTTCTTGATAACGTTCCATAACTGACTTACATTGGAAAATCGTTTAATGTTTAATTTATCTTATATATTATATCTAAAATAAATCTTAAGTACATCAAATATCCTTTGGGAACCCGCAAGGCAGTCACCGGCCTGGCGCTCCTTCAACAACAAGGCGAAGGACAATTGATGACGAATTAACATCAGCGCGCTACTCATGGAACGACATCTGCACTGCAGCTCCAAATATAATACGGTTCAGAGGAATTGTTGAGGCCCTATACACTACTGGGAGTTAACGGAACAAAGAAGAAGAAGAAGAAATATCCTTTGAGATATGCATACATACATGTCATATGATGATTGAATATTGATTTTTTCCGGAAATTGTGCGATTATTTTCACAATTTTAGCAAAACTAACTATTATCTTGTCTAGTAGCAAGATTTTTGTATTTTAGTGAGAAGATTTTTCTTCTATGACGCACCGTTTTTCTGTTATTGTTCTTTGAAAGAAACTACCTACTAACGATTTCACTTTGTTGATAAAACAACACCTATCAACAGTTTAGTTATTATAACTTATAGATATGTCTATAATATCATCACACTAATATAGGTAGGCACAGCAATAATAAAAAAATAAAATTTAACATAATTTATAAAAATAAACTCATACTCACTTTAAAGTTTCAACTACATATTCTGGCAAACCTTCAGTCTTTGATAAACATAAATATCTGGTAGTCTGTCTGCCGAATAGAATATTATTCTCCCGCCATAAGTCGGCATCTGCATCTTGGTCATAAGTGCGATGTACTGATGAAAAATTCTTGGGGCATCTAAAAATAGCGAAAAAGTAAATTGAATGCAATATGAAATGAGAATTCCATTCAAATGATTAGCATACAAATGCACATTAGCGCATCGGAGAAATACTTACTTCTCATAGTCTTCCACAATTTGCAGTGATGTAATGGGTCGATTATCGGGCAGAAAACTCATTATAGAATTAATGACATTTTTTTGTGATATGTTGGTGGGCGAAGTAAGTATGCCGCTCGTGGTACTGCTGCAGCCAACTGCTCCACTTTGTATGTGTTTTGCCGCTTTGTTCATCTCTCGTATTATCACTTATTGCTTTATTAAATCCAAAATTTCTGAAATTTCTTGAATTTCCGAAATGTTTATTTTGACTGCTTTGACGGAAGTTAAAGTTTACGTTGGCACAGTTATGGCCCGACAATGCTTGGCTTTCACCCAATTTATATGCGAGTTACAGGTTTTCTGATATTTCCACTTCGGATGTTGTACGTTTAGTGCAAGTTTAACTTTGTTTATAAAAAATATTACTAACACACTTTTTTCTCTTCTTTATTATTGCTATTCCATTTATGATTTAGCTCAAATAAACTAAAAAAATAAAAAATATATTTTATAAATATTAGTCATGCGTTGCCATGTACTGGTATCTATTTCGATTCTGCTGACTTTGCTCTTTGATGACTTTATGGTTTTTTTAAATAAAAATTTCCCACAATTGAGTTTACAATTTTAATTAACATTAATAAATGTTAAAAGATAAGTGCTGACTTGATTTCTTTTAAACAAAATATATTAATAACAATACGAGAAACTGTATTGTAAGTCCCCTAATAAATAATATGAATGCATATGCCTACATATAAGAATGAAAGTAATAATTTATGCATATAACATACGTACATTATACACTTAAAGCATCTATTCTTAAAATAGTATAAATTAGTGCTTTAAATATTATTTGAATTTGTATATTTATATGTTCAAATCCCCAGCTATCTACTAATTGGAGCTTTGTCACTCTGTCATGGCTACATATCATTTATATGCTTAAGAACATGGGCATGGGCCCATCGTGGGTCGTAAACAATGATAATACCCGGGCACAATGAAGGCTAGTCACCGGAGTTACGCCAGAACAAAAAGGTGTATACTTAGCCCTATCAGACTATAAACTACATAATTACTTTTTCCTTGTTGTATTAAGTTTGAAAAGAATAAAAAAGCAGAGAGTTTAGTCCTCCTTGACACTACTATGGGCCATCCCTTAGGGGTCCCGATATATATTTGTTTAGAAGGTGTTTAGAAAAATACCAATCTCCAGTTGCTGGATCTAGCAGATAACAGGTGAAAATTATTCCCAATGATTATATAGATAATGTTAAACTGTAGAAACTCAACTAAATGGATATAGTATATCTAGATGAATCTAGTTTATTTAGATGGATATAATTTATCTGTATGATTCTTGTTTATCTACTAGATGATGGGTATTTAGGAATACTCAAAACAGCTGTATGGTCGCCAAAAATTCAATTAATTAAAATAATATAAAAAAAGTTTTTGTTCTTGTAGTTCACTATTTTTCGAAACCTTTCTATCAACTTAAAATGTTTAAATCTTAAAACCTAGTTATCTCCAAAATTAATCTATATCAGCTTATACCATAGTGACAAAATTTAATCAAAATTCAGAATCTACTAAAATCCGTTGTTAAATCGGCATAGTCAGAAAATCGTAAACACGCCGATGCTTCCATTTCATTTTACCAGGAAATAAAAATCATAATCCCATTCAATAATCACAATAATTTAGTCATTTAATTTAAAACAGAAAATAAAATAATTTAAATAAATCATCCTCAGATTTTTATATATATTCACTTAGCATTTAAATTATTCTATAACAGGAGCAGTATTTTTAAAGTCCGGAACGTAAGTCTATACATAATCTGCTTTAATACCATCCTGTTCACTAGATCCCTTCTTCATTTTATTTATGGTTTTTGGATTAATCCCATTTCACTTGCTATATATTAAAACTATTGATCTTTCCTGATTATTTTTACCTAGAGTGGTCATTAGTGCAATGAGATTGCTGCTAACGAGAGTCTATATATATTCTATTTTGATACCACCCAAGTCACTAGACATTTCTTTTATTGTTTTAGTGGTTTCTGGATTAATTTAATTTTACTTGCTATATAATAAAACTATTGATCTTTCCTGATTGTTCTTACCAAGAGTAATTATTAGTGGAATGCAGGAATGAGATTGCTTCTTTATTGTTTTTAATGATTTTGGGATTAGCCGAATTTAGCTTGCTATATACCAAGAGTGGTCATTGGCGAAATGAAATTAGTAAGTTAATGCTTACGTGAGTCTATATATAATCTGCTTTGATATAACCCAATTCACTAGACATTTTCTTCATTATTTTTAAAGGTTTTGGGATTAGCTAAATTTAATTTGCTATATACTATAAGCCTACTGATTGTTCCTGATAACTATTATCAGAAATGGTCATGAGATTGTTGCTAACAATTCTTTTTAATATCGAAGTCTTAAGCTTTAAAAAGGTTTGAGTGGGTTAAAGTCCTACGATAAGACTTTAGATGCTTTTCAACTGCACTTTTTTGTCATTACATCTTTTGTTAATTGCTTCACACATTAAAATATAGTATTAATGACATTTGACATACTAAAATTTTTTTAATTATTTTAAATATATGCATATTTTATGTCTTATTTTATTTAATATATTAACACTTAAACCGGAACACAATAGATTTTTGTAACAAAATCTCAATTCCTGAAGTAACGCATTTAAATAATTGTTTATCTTATCAGCTTTTGTTTGCTTTGATATATTTTAAACAATACCGTTCACACTGTCAATTGTTTATTTATCTGTCATGGAATATTTTTGTTCTTAAAACACAATACGAAATTCGGGAATGGGAACAATAGCGATTTTAGTACACAAACGAAAACACACTCGAGGAGAAATAACTTATGAAATTGCTCAAGAATGAATGGATGAATGAATGAAAGATGTAATTAAAATTTTATAACTTTAAATTTTGTAGCAACGTAAGTAGCGACGAACTCTCAGTTATATCTTGAAGATATTGCCAAGACGAACTGTTCAGTGTTTTTGGCGAAAATACTAGATAAGCGCAAACAAAGTAAAACTTCAATAAAAAGTCACATGCGCCAAATTCGCAACAAAAGTTCGTAGTCATTCTTTGTAGTCTGTGAGTGGAGCGGCGATGAACAAAGATGCTGTGAATCTAAGTGAGTCTAAAAAAAGATGATTGAGTTTTAGTAAAGCTCATAACTCAAAAAATAAAGTAGAAAATCATTCTTTCTAACTGAAATGCAAAATGAATTCAAAAAGTTGATCAAAACTGATTATTTGTGGTGGAGCATTTGCAAGCATTGCTGCCGGCATTGGATTTGGATTATTGGATGAAACTTTAATACTAAAATAATGCCAAGGGAAATGCTTGTGCTTTCGTAACTACCGCTTTGATAAGGAGTACATAAACTCTGCTTCTCTTCACAGTTAAATGCAAAAGGTCAAAGTTTACAAACAAAGCACTTTGTTCATCATTTTTTCTCTGTTTAGAGAAGTCGACGACATCGTTTCTTCGTTGCTTTATGCGAATTGATAAATTCATAGACAACGCATGTTGCAAGCGATGAAGTTAATTGCTGTTTTGACCTCAGTTGAACCGCAACTCTGTTGCTGTTCTTCCAGTAACAACACAAGTGAAATTGGCTTTTTTAAATGAGCCAAGGAAAGTGGGTTCAGTTGATGTACACGCACAGATGATTGATAATTAACTGACGGAAATGGCCATATTTTTCTGGAAGTAAATTTCAACAACTATAAAGAATAAGGAAGAGTTATGGACAATTTTAAAAAATGTAGTGAGATGCATATGGGTATAAGATCACACCCAACAACAATAATTTATATACATAATAACATAAATACCATGTTTAAAACTTATAATTGCCAACAGTTGATTAATTAATACATCACATAAACAGATTACCTATATATGAGATGTACCCGTCCATGTATGTAGAATAGTTAAATGGATGAAAAAACACGGTTTAAAGTTGTATATTTATAATACCACTTTAATATGCTATAAATGGTATAATATAGGTTAATATGGTATAAAGTGGACTTATTAAAAAAACCCAGACTACATAAAAACTTTTATACAGCAATTAACCGTGGGGAGTCAATAGTGATATAAAGAAAATAGTTTATAACAATAAGACAACAAAACCAGATCTTGGGAACTCATCAGAAGGCATCGTGCAAACACTGCAAGGTTTACTGTTATTCTTTCTGTTTATTGGTGTATAGGTGCCCATGCAGAGAAACTGTGCATTCCTCATTATTCTTACCGTAGAAGTTTTGGAAACCTGCAGGAAAAAGAAACCATTTAAAACTTTCTCTATGAATGCCCGACTTTAGCGTCCAGAAAAAATAAGTTTCTAGGAAGGTATTTCTTTGACAGCTTATGAAACTGTTCATAAGTAAAGATGAATATTCAGTAAAGATGGATTCAGCCTGTATTCTTCTATCTTAGAGGTTCTTGTGAAGAATATGGTGGCTAAACAGCGAAAAGAAAAATTGCTAATTGAGGAACATGGAAAGTTATCTGGTGCCCTGATGGATAAACAATATATGAAAAAAAAACAAAAAAAATAAAAATGGATTATATAAAAATTTCAGAACACAAACCGTAAAGTAATATGCTTTTTAGCAGTTAAACAATGAAAAGGTGATTAAAATGACTACTTAGTAAATAAATGCATAAAATGAACATTAATTTACGGAGAATGACCCTTAGCAATGGAAAGAAAAAAATCAAAAAATCGATAAAAATGACTGGTTTTCCTCTAAGTCTTGGTTCTTCAAGGAAAAAGAAATAAAGGGTATTAAACAATAGAATAATGAACCAAAACTAACAGACATTAAAATGGATAGGCATAGGGTAAATATATTATAACCCTAGATAAGAGGGCATCTATACAGTAAATGGATGAATGGCATGAACAATGATTTACGGAAAATAAGCATCAGAAGCAGTAGAGCAATACAAAAAATCAGCAAAAAAGGCCGACTATCATGCGATAATGTTTGAGGAAAAAAAGTTTATCAAATACAAATATATCAGTACTTGTTCAAGAATAACTGAGATTTAAATGAGTAATTCTGTTAGTTAAACGAGATTCTGATGCCCCCATCATCCCCTCTATAAGCGTGGCAATCGCACTTACGCCATAACTCCGGCCTCTTCACCCATCCACCATCTATCTGCACCATGCTCTTGATTTCTGGCTTAGCCAAACCTAGTCCACTAGATATTAAGCCACTTACTCATATCTTTCTCACATAAATACTGGAATGAAGTTTCCAAACAGCAGAAATCTTCTCTATACATTATTATGAGGTGGTTTTAGTGGATTAAAATCTCACACTGTGGCTGTCGGAGCTTTCCATCAACCCGTTTTGTGGTGGTCTATCAGCACCCCTTACTATTCTAGAAAACAGTAGCATGTCTT